ATATATCAATATATCAATGAAAACAAAGTAACCATATACAAAAACAAAAAAACAACCATGAAAAACACTAAACAATAAGAACAAATATACATTAAAATAAAATAAAATAAAATACATTCAAATAAAATTATAAATAAATAAATAAAAAACAATAAGGGCTAGCTTTCTATTCCTCTAAGGAATTTCCATCAAATACATCCTTATAATATTGCAAGAAGGGTTCCCACACGACTTGAAACTTCTGGTTCTGAACAGAACATCTAACATTTTCAAGCCGGAGAAAAGACATTGTATCACTGACCCAACGTGAATGTTTCGGAGGTACGGATGCCTTCCAGTTCGTCAGTATTAACCGGCATGCCAGGAGTGTGGAGAATGCTATCAACCTTGCTTGGGCTTTTGAAACAGTTGTCCTGTGTACCACTCCGAATATTGCGGTGATAGGGTCCGCTTCAATCCTTTTCTTACAAATAATAGTGAATGTATTAAAGATTTCCGACCACAATGTGTGTAAATTTGGGCACGACCAAAACATATGAGCCAGGGGCCTGATGACAGCGTGTGCATGTAGGATCTATGTTTGGATATATTCTTGCCAACCTAGTCCTAGACAAATGCAGACGATGGAATACCTTGAATTGTATCAGTCTATCGCGCACACAGAATGATGACGCATATATTATTTATAGACCTCTGCCAAATTTCGTCTGTTATTACAATGTTTAGGTCCTCCTCCCAGTTGGATTTAAGAGAAAGAAGTGACACAGTGTTAGTGGCTTGGATGAATCTATAGAGCTGCGATACACCACATACACCCCGGAGCCCAAGCCCCAGGCATTCGTCCAAAGGACACATGTCCGGCTTGAGAGGGAATATCGGGAACCTAGTACGCACAAAATCTCGTACTTGCAGGTATCTGAAAAAACTAGATCTCTGTAAATTAAATTGCCTGACTAAATGTTCGAAAGTGGAAAAATTGACATCTATAAACAGATCACCCACGCTTTTAATGCCATTTCGGTCCCATGCAATGAAGGCTGTGTCCAGTAAAGATGGTTTGAAAAGAATGTTTTTAACAAGGGGCATTGATATAAGAGGCTGTATATATTTAAAGTGCTTCCTAAATTGGGTCCAAATACGTAGACTGGCTTTAACTATAAGATTATCAGTGTGTACACCCACTGCCACCGGCAATGGGGCACACAAAAGGGAAGCCAAAGACGTTGATGGACAGGCGTGCTGTTCCATTACAGCCCAGCTTGGGCTATCATTACTCCTACTAATATTAAACCAAATGATAACTTTGGAAATGTTTGCAGCCCAATAATAATACAAAAAGTTTGGCAAACCCAATCCACCATTCTCCCTGCGCCTCTCAAGAACAGCTCTCCGTACTCGGGGTATAGTTTTATTCCAAATAAAGTTACTGATGTATCGGCCCAGTTCCTTAAAGAAAGACTTGGGTAAAAAAATAGGGACAGTTTGAAATAAATATAAAATCTTCGGTAAGATTACCAATTTACTGAATTAATACGCCCTGCCAAGGAGATTGGCAAAGAGGACCACCGATTAAGATCTTCCCTAATCTGTTCGAGTAGAGTTTTGAAATTAGCCTGAAACAGGTCTTTATAACTGCTGGTAACATTAACACCAAGATATGTCATAGGCCCATATGCATTTTTAAAAGGATACGATCTAAAAGAAAGCTTCTTCACCTGTTCATTTATCGGAAAAATTACACTTTTACTAGGATTAATCTTATAGCCAGATGATCTACTGAATTGTGAAATTATTTCAAGACATTTTAGAACTGAAGTATCGGGATCTGATATAAACAGTAACAGGTCGTCTGCATACAATGATACTTTATGTATCCCACCACCTCTTGAGATGCCCTGTGCATCCTCACTTACAGGGAATTTACACAGTAGGCGTAAACAGCGCGTACGCATTTACTGCGCGCTGTCTGCGCGTAACCTTTTTTTGGAGTATCTACACAGGCCGTGCGTGCGTCTTCTGATGCTCTCCCTGTGTAGTCTATGGAGCAGTGTAGAGGACAGTACGGGCCAGAGGACTGATGTAGAACAATACAAATCACATGCATGTGTTTGTCTTCATGGTCTCTGTGCGCTGGTTTGGCCAGACGCAAGACTTTATGAAAGAAAAAAAACGATGTCCAGAATCACTGTAAAACCTGCTGCTCCTCCTGCTGATGCTTAGACACAAGTGCTGTGTGTGTGCAGATGCGATCTAGAGCCAAGGACCGCTAGAAAAATCATGTTTTACATGAGATTTCAATGGGAGACGCGTTGGTGCGCGCACAAAATTAGAAATCCATCCTAAATTAGAGCGCAGCTTCGCGTCATACAACCGTCATAGGCGTGTATAACGCTAGAAGTGTAAATATCATCATAGGTTAACATGGAAAATGTTACGCGCGTCTGCTGCGCGTATAACGCGTACGTGCTGTAACGCGTGATGTGTAAATTAGCAGTGAGACGTAATGCTATTGCAAGCGCCTCTACTGCAAGGTCAAACAAAAGAGGGGACAGCGGGCAACCCTGGCTTGTCCCCCTTTGAAGTGTGAAATAAGCAGAATTAAAGTTGTTTGTCCTCACTCTTGCTTGAGGAGTTGCGTACAGAGTGTCAATCCAGGAGACAAAGGTAGTACCAAACCCAAATTTTGTCAAGGTTTTAAACAGGTGTTTATATTCAATTGAATCAAATGCTTTGTGGGCGTCTAATGAAAGGACTACTTCTGGGGGTCCATTGGTCTGTTTTGAATATATTATATTAAACAGGCGTCTCAGATTATGGAATGACTGCCTGCCCTTCACAAATCCTGTTTGATCTGGATGTATAATTTTTGGGATAATCAATTCCAGTCTAGTGGAAATAACTTTTGTGAGGATCTTATAATCACATGTGAGTAGGCTAATTGGACGATAAGACTCGCATTTACATGTATATTACCAAAAACATCTTCACTGCTAGAGCCGCCCGAGGTATATAAAGATGTATAAAAACTCTTAAACTGATCATTTATATCTTTAGGATCAGACTTCATTATTCCATCTGAGTCTTGGATTTCCGCAATAAAATTGGCAGAGGAATACTGACGTAGTTGGTGAGAAAGTAATCTACCTGCCCGTTCTCCATGTTCGTTACAGTTCTGTCTAGTTTTCAAAAACTTCTCACTAGCTTCCTTAGAAGCTAGAAGGTCAAATTCTGTCTGTAATGCTATTCTTGTTTTACGAAGATCAGATGTGGGTGAAGATGAGTGCTGCTGGTCGGTCTCCTTTATTAATTTAATTAGCTCAGTAAATCTTTTAGATCTAGTTCTGTTTAGGCGTGCAGTGTACTATTTGGCCCCTGATATACGCTTTTAATGTTTCCCATGAAGTGAAAACATCCGTATCTGGTAAACGATTAGTCGCAAGAAAAAAATCTATTTTTTTGCTATAAAATCCACAAAAGCTTCATCAGTTAACAAAGATGCGTTCAGTCAGAGGTGCCAGAGTTCTAAAGTAACAGGTGCTTGATCTGAAATTACTATACTTTCATAATCGCAAGACTTAACTGATGAAATTAAATTCTGGTCTAACAAGAAAAGGTCTATCCTTGAGTACGTCTGATGGACTGCAGAGAAAAAGGAGAACATTTTGGAATTGGGATTTTTAAATCTCCATGGATCAAAAACTCCGGCAGATTGACAGAAGGTATTTAGTACAGTAGCAGATTTGGTGAGAGGCGCTGTTGATATTCTGGATCGATCGAGTGATGGATTAAGAACTGTGTTAAGATCTCTTCCCATTATCAGGTGATGTGTGCCCAGCTCCGGGATACGACCCAGTAGTCTAAAAAAATTTGAGTCATCCCAGTTGGGAGCATACACACTAATCAAAACATCTGGCATATTGTATAGCCTTCTTTGTACAATAACAAAGCGGCCATTTTTATCTCCCGCCTGTTTAGTGTAAATTGTATATGTTTACCAATTAAAACAGCTGCCCCACGATATTTTGAATCTAATTCCGAGTGAAAGACCTGAGATATAGATCCTCTTTTTAAATTTGGAATGTCTTTAGTGCGAAGGTGCGTTTCCTGCAAAAAGGTTACATCTGCTTTAAGTTTGCCCAGATGTGAAAACACTTTACTCCGCTTCACCGGATGGTTAAGACCTCGCACATTCTAACTCACAAACTTAGTTGACGGTCTGATCATGAACCCATGAGACTTTGTAGAAACAGGATGTATTTGCTTGACAGCAAAATGGTGATTCGAGCCCTGCAAAAACATAAAAACAAAAAACAAAAAGAAAAATAGACTAAAACGTTGCAAAAAGAAAAAACAAACTTCCCCCCATGAACTTAACCCATTTCTGCCGGTCCCTCCCCAATTGAGAGACTGCACCCCCCTGCCTCACAGACCACTACCAAGCATTAGAACTAACTAAACACTAACTAGTGTGGCTGAGGCCCCACATAAACCTTAAACACAGAATTCTCAATTTAAACTATACTGATATATCAACAAGTAAACTCACCCCCAATAACCCACGTGCACATTGAACAGTACACATTCCCAGAGAGAATAATAATGAAAGTAAAATAATAATACCTAGATGAAAGGGATAACTGAAAATATTAAGCCATATAACCTTTTCAACTAAATGCAACATACCCAAAACAATATATATAAAAATAAGATGATGTATACTTTTAAGCACCAAACTTCACTTGACAGTAGCGCAATAAACCTTTGAACACATTGTCCCCAACTTAATGGACACAATGTTATGTGTGTCATCCCACATTGTGTACACTACCGCTCCAACAGTCCTCTTGCAAACGTTGTAGCTTTCATCGGGTCTGTAAACATCTTTTGTTCTCCATCTCCGGTCGTAATCTTCAGTTTCGCTGGATATAGAAGTCCGTATTTCACTCCTTCACACTGCCTCAGAAGTTGTTTTGCCTGGATGAATGCTGCTCTCTGTCGCGCTACGTTGTAGGTGTAATCCGGAAACACTCTGACAGTATCCCCGTCTCTTGGTAGTAGTGGCACTTTACGACAAAAACCCTTGGTGGATGGCCCTTGTCTGGGGTTTGCTGTAGCGTGCGGTGTGCCCGGTCTATGACAGGTGTAGTATCCAATTTGAACACGTATTGCAAAAGTTCCGCCACATAAGTACTAACTCTTGCTCCCGTTTCCCGGCCTTCTTTAAGCCCGAAAATGCGCAAATTGCATCTCCAGGATCTTGCTTCTAGGTCCTCCGTTTTCGCCGATAAGCCCTCCACCTCTTTCTTCAATCCAACAACTTGTTGCTCCAGATCATCCATCTTATTGGAATGCGTATTCACGGCCTCCTCCAGGCTAGCTGTGCGCTCATCTAGCATGCCAACTCTGTTGTTAGCCTGGTCAATGGACGCCATTAGCTCATCCCTCAGTCCGCTGATTTGCTTGGCCAGCTCATCTTTCTGCATCTCCGCTTTCTCCTCAATCTTGTTAACCAGATCAGTCCTCAAAGTGTCAATTGCTTGCAATATAGCGGACTGCCCCGAAATTTCCCCGGAATCATTAGCATTGCCTCCACCGGAGTTACTAGCATTACCTCCATCAGCGCCGTTAGCATTAGCTTTAGCTCTGGGTTTTGTCATGGTTGCGAGACGACAAAAGTGTCAATACATCCAAAACAATAAATAATTCCAACGTAGCAAAGTTACCCCAGCACTCGTGGCCCTTCACCGTTCATCAATTTCAACTTGTCGATTAGTTTTAAGGTAAATGTGGTAGCGCTCAAAAAACGTGGACTACATCGCTCCGAGGTCACACCGGAAGTCCCAATGCGCTTTTTTAATGCAGAGAAATCCATTGAATCCGATGCACTGCAAGCGCCAAGAAAAGCGCTTAGGGAGCGTCAACAAGTGTCCAGACCAGCTTTGTAAACGAACAATAGCTTTTACTGAAGCCATGTACATGCACTAAACTCTCAGACAATATAAATAATGACCATGTCTAACTGCTACAGACTTTGATTTCAACTTTTGTGAGTTAAAAAAAAAAAGAATACATATTGTGTTTGTCTTCATGGTCCCTGTGGCTGCTGTGGTCAGACGCCAGTCTTCATGAACTGCGTGAGGCGGAGAGACCCGCGCACGTGCGGCTGTTATGTGAGATGTCAGAGAAAATATAGTAATTTACAGACATTGCTTATCCCGTGTGAATGCACTGCAAGAGCTGCAATTACCAGGGGTACACAGGTTATACTAATCCCGTGCGAATAGGGCATTTTTTCCTTCTTAGCGTCCCAGGCATGTTTTTTCACGTTTTTTACAGTTTGTTTATACCAGGGATCGGCAACTCAAAAGGTTCAAAGAGCCATATTTGACAAAAAAACTAAAAACAACATCTGTCTGGAGCCGCAAAAAAATAAAACAGCTTTGTATAAAGCTTATATGAAGGTAACAGGGGCTGAAGCTGTATTAGCTACATTAGCTACATTAGCTACCTTAGCTACATTAGCTATATTAGCTACCTTAGCTACATTAGCTATATTACCCTAATATCTAAATGACAAAGTAAAGGCTACAAACACATAAAAACCATTCATGATTATCAAATGTGTATTTTATGAAGGTTATTTTGTGTTTTTATTATCAACACTTTTTTTGCTTTTGAATTCTATAAACTGTAACAAAAAGTATTCAGTGTAAATAAATTCAATGTTTTAAAATTCAGTGTCAAAATATTCAATGTTTTAAAATTCAGTGTCGAAAAATTTCATGTTTTAAAATTCAGTGTCGAAAAATTTGATGTTTTAAAATTCAGTGTCAAAATATTCAATGTTGAAAAAAATTCAGTGTCCAAAAATTCGTAGCATTTTTTTTTGCTGCTTGAAATGTCATGCTTTATTTCCGGGTAAATCAAGACAGAAGCAATCGATCAGCCAATCCTCCATAGATGTAGCCAGGGCCAGAACACGACTTTGGCTTTATCCGAATGTCCACATTATATCGTGCGGGACAATTGTGAGTGAGTGACTGAGTGAATGGACTCATTCTGATGGCGATTCGGACGTTGCACACTATTATCAGGCCGTGCTGTTGTACGTGAGCGTCCCGCTGTAGCGTGGATCACGGAGCGGAGAGAGGAGCGGCCATGACAAGGTAAAGGTAAAAGTTTAATTTACGTTTTAATTAGGACATAACATTTAATTGTAATAATGGGAAATAGCCCCCTTTTTGTCATATCAGTGGTCTGTTAGGTGATTAAACAGATTTTCTTTGGACTTTTCTAACCACGGGTGTAGAGCTGCGCTGATGCCCAGAATGGAGCGTCATGCGCTGGGAGTCATTTTGAGAGCTCCCTTATGCTAACAGTCTTAATTGTGGAAGTAATTATGAAAACCCAAAAAGGCGGCTTTTGTATCATACTTACTCTGTTACAACAATTGTTTTAAGAGTAATCATTAGTCTTAAAAATGTGATATTTAATGTAAATAAGGCATGTGTTTAGTGCGATTGATGGATTTGCTATGGCCCTCGTTTGTGCATCACTTTGTTGTTAAGTAATTTGTATTAAGTAAAAATGTGATAATGTGCATTTACTGATGACAGGGGGACATCTGTGAACATGAAGCTGGACAAAGAAGACGCGTGGACTTGAACTTACAGACCAGATTTAAGGTCATGAGTACTTACTTTTTGAGAACAAGCTCCTTGCCTCTTGAAATCCAACAGACCTGATCATGTCAGAATTAATGGCTTAAATGTATTTAAGATTAGAAGTACTTAAATAAAATCTTCGAAACATGTTTCTCACGGATTGTGTGGTTGGATAAAACAAACGCATACATCACTTTTCATTGCACACAAAGAACTAAATCATAATAATTTTATTTTATTCCAGGTTGTGATGAGTCCTCCATAGAAAACAGGCACACGTCCAGGCACCTGCTGTTGTTACTGTTGCTGCTGCATATGTCTTCAGAAAATGAGAGATGTGTTCTAACTACATGACTTGCAATTAATAAAACAAATGAACATATTGGTCGTTGTAGTTTATATCGTAATCCACAGAAGCTGGAGGTGATGGAAATGGGTGAAGAAATGATGGCCTCTGGAAGACAGCTGCCTCTGGAAAAGAAATTCACACAAAAAATCATTAATTAATCGGTTCTTCTGGGATTAAAATGGGCCTTTTGTTACAATCAGACATGTCGACATATATGTTCATATACATGTACTGTCCCAGTCAAATTAATTAATACAAATACACAGTAGTAGAGTAGAAACAGACGCTCTGAGGAGGAGCAGAAGTACGATGCCTTTACCAACACACACATGAACTTAACATGTCATATCAACAGTAAATGTAAATACATTGCCAGTCTTTAACAGGAGGCTGGTAGAGTGGGATTTACAAATATACTCAATTAAAACCATATCTATCAGTCTGATTCCTCTCTGTAGCATTAATATTGAATCAATGAGTTTGTTTTCTCCCTAAAGAACCAATCCTTCATTCCGTCTTGGTTTCACTAAGATGTCAAAATTTAAGAGTAAAGATAGAGTAATTATCGTCTGCTCTGTCTCTAAAACAGTGCACATTGAAATTGGGAACATAGTACATATGTCACACAAGAACCGCAAACCCCCATGTACTTGGCTTTCCTGCGGTTCATTTTAGCTTATAGCATTAGCGAAGATTAGCTTTGGGGAATCGCCAAAACATAGAAGCCACCTGCGCGGAGCTAGCTAATGATAAGCTAAGGTAAAAACATGTTCAGAAAGTACATACAGTAGTGGTTTGCGTGTTACATACCAACTATTGATGAGAAAACACACTTACTGGTTTGCTGTGGACGCCATGTTCAGATGAACAATGTCGTGTTCTGGCCCTGGCTACATCTATGGAGGATTGGCTGATCGATTGCTTTGTTCTTGATTTACCCAGAAATAAAGCATGACATTTCAAGCAGCGAAAAAAAAAAGCTACGAATTTTTGGACACTGAATTTGAAAACATTGAATTTTTTGACACTGAATTTGAAAACATTGAATATTTCGACACTGAATTTTAAAACATTGAATTTATTTACACTGAATACTTTTTTGTTACAGTTTATAGAATTCAAAAGCAAAAAAAAGTGTTGATAATAAAAACACAAAATAACCTTCATATATTTTCACTGCAGCGTGTCCTGGAGAGAATGACACACCACGTGACAGCTCTGCTCTAAGTTTAACTTCAATTTTTTGAAGTTAAACTTGTACAAATACATTAAATAAAACTGCTTTTTGGGCCCAAGTTCACCTGCATCACTGTCTGTTAATATTGATCACATCACAGGCTGAAGTTTGCTGGAGCTGAATGTCCTTAATGGCTTTTTCTTTCACTGTCTTTGCGAAGGTTTTTGAAGTCTGAAAATAGGTGCTCTGACTTTATGATGAATTAATCTTTCAGTGAACGGTGTTTAAAGCTTCATTGTTCCTCGTGTTGCAACAAAACTTTTCATTACATCGCAAACATGAAGCAGTCCTTCCTCATTGACTGAAAGCAAATGTTCATTCTCATTCTTAGTCCAGTCTAATCGACTCTTTCTCTCTGTATCTTTGGGATCCATGCGCACACACAGTCTATGATGCACACACGCCGGTTTGTTTACAGCAGCGGCCGCCTGGCACGGGCCGCGTCACAGGATATGACGCACTACGTTGACAAAAATGCTGAAATTGAATATTACTTATACACGTTTTTGCAGCATTTAAAAACTTTAAGAATGTTTTTCCTACTACAGAAACCACATTGAAACTAGAAATGAAATATAGCCCTCACGCTCCATTTTCAGACATTTTTGAAAAGGCTCCAGGAGCCACTTTAGGAGCACTAAAGTTTGCCGACCCCTGGTTTATACAGTATGTGGAAGCAAATACTGTAGAGGATCAGGATGTCTGCAGTTTCAACAATAAAATAAAGTGTAATAGTCTACATCACAAGAGAGTAATAAACATGTCTCAGAGTGAGGGAGGTGGACACAGACACTATTGTTTGTTACAGGGATGAGAATTGGTCAAAAATGTCTGAAATGCATATTGTCAGCCATTATGGCTCTAAATCTGTTTAATTTGTTCACAACATTTTACTTTTGGGCTCAAACATGAACTTTTAATGCAATGGAAAATTTAAGTACCCGAGCTTTAAAGGAGCCTTGCGGAGTTTGCCATTTTTGTGCTCACGAACCCCCCCTCTGGCCAGAGGTGTAACTGCAGCCTGAATGAGAGGCGCGTGCACGAGGAACAGAAACTAAACAACAGCTGATATGGTCCTGTCCTCAATAAGTTACAGATTTGCGGGGATGACTTCAACAGAGGTAAGACATGTTACTGTTTTGTATGATATTTAGACCAAATCAATGTGTATATTTTCCAAGATCTGATACTTCAGCAAATGTAAAGCGAAGTGAATTATCAAAAGCCTGAAGCCACATTATATTCACACAAATGAACATTTCAAAGGGGAACAAAAAAAGTGTCTATTATGTATATATAAACGTAAGCCTAACTGTAATAATACAATTCCACAGATAGAAATGCTTCCATGACAAGCCAAAATCATCTTTTCATTGGGACTGATAAGGTTAGCGTAGCATGAGACTTTTTGTAGTATATTTACTACTCATAAACATAAATCAGTGAAGTCACTCTTATTTTGCAGCCAAGACAAGCTAACATTAGCAACATTATTATTCCCATAGAAAATACAGCATAATTACCACTGTTACTGTTTTGTTTTTATTAGTGTTATTACTGACACTAGTCTGCTACTAATACGACACAAGTTGTCTGTAGGTATAAAACTATATCAACTGTTCTGATAAATTCAAAATATTTTTCGATGAAGTTGGTACAAAACACACATTCCAGAACAATGACATCTAAATCGTTTTGCTTTTCCTTCCAGGACTCCAGTCCAGTTGAATCTGTAGTTTCTGAGAGCAGTGACTTTGAATGGGGGAGAGGAGGAGGCAGACGAGCAGCAAGAAGATGAGGAAGAGGAGCAGCCAGAGGAGAGGCCAGGCTAGAATGAGAAGTGCAGGACATGTGGGTTATAAAGACGCCCCTTTATTCGTTCCACAGTAGGGAATTAAAACTAAAATGCAACTCATCACCACTTTAGAAATTAGTCTTTCTTTTATTTCAATGTTTGGGGGAGAAAAAAAAATATATTTGAAATAATCTAAATAAATGTGCTGTGTCCATCTTTGATTGCTGTCAGCCTCGGGGCGACGCGAACTGTTTTCTGCAGCGGTGTATTTATGGGTGCACAAATTACGCAGACCTGCATGGTCCTGTGCGCGTTTATGAACTTGGGTACATGGTCACGTTGCGGCTACGCGCTCACCGTGTTGTGTTGAGAGCGGTTCCCGGTCAGCGGTTCCTGCGTCCAGCACAGAGCCGCTGGATGCGGGAACACTGCGGCCGCTGAGGTGGTGGAATCCCGTTTGAGTACATACAGCAGGTACATCTCTCAACGGATTTACACTTTTCACAAACATGTTTTTTGTATGAGGCAGACAGACCGGCCCAAATATGGGCATCGGCCCTTCGGGCATTGAATGGTACGCCCGATGGCGAGTCCAGCCCTGAATTTGCGAGATTTCCACCCGCGGATACACACGTGCCAGTTGTATGGTGCTGAGATCGCCGACTTCTTCCTCCTTAATGGATTTTCCTGTGTTGTTTTGGACACATTTCGTCTCTGGGACATGTCCTGACGTTTCTATATGACGGAGAGATGAGAAAGGTGCAGGGCCGTGTTCAAACTCATTGTATTTGAATCCACTAATGCGCATCAGAAAGAAAATATAGAAACACTATTCCCATGCAAATAAATTGATGCTGTCCCTTACAGCTAACTTTGCTGCTTTGGTTATTTTGGAAACCTAAAAAATGAGCATGCTTCGTGTAAACTTTGATGATTACAGCCGAAAAAAAGAAGAGCATTTTGCACCATTAAATTAAAAAGCCTCTTCGAACAGCTGGCGGTTTGTTTGTATCCGAGCAAAGAACCGGAGGTGCTCCTTCGACGGAACTTTCTTTTTCTTTTTTTTATTTAATCAAAGCGTGCAAAAGACAAGTACATTTCTCAACAGTGTAAAGACGCAAAATGCACATTAATATAATATTATTGAACAAATAAAATAAAATACATGTACATACATACAGGGGTCTGCTAATCAACTACTTTAAAGGGTTTTATCAATGTGATTGTTCTAATCAATTTCTTATTTTTAAGTTTAAAATTTTCAATAGAGGCCAGATAGGTTTTTAGATCGGAAGCTTTAAAAGCAGAAAAGGAAGGTATATTTTCATTGTATTTAGTTTTATGGAATGGGTACTTTCCTAAGATCAGTATAAGATTTATAATATAGATTACATGAATCATTAAATCCTTTTTTGATCATTAAATATTAGTAAAATTTGAGAGTAAAACTCTTTTCACTTCCGGGTAATCAATTGACACCAAAAAATACAAATTAAAAAAGGTTATTTATTGCATTTTATAGTTCCCAAATCTGGTTATTACAATATACATGTCTTATAAGAAATGAAAAAATAAAATAAAAATTGTTATTTTTGTATATTTCCCTGTGCCTGCCCTGAAAGTGCAAAATAGTCCTTTTTTGGTTTTCCATTTCCCTTCAAAAATAGAAAATGTATTGAACGCAAAAGTACAACCATGGACACTGTACTGCAGCCAAATTTCAGGCAGAAAAAAACCCAATCAAAATTAAAATAAATATTATAAATATAGTTAATATAATGTTAACATAATTTCTAATTCTGAACGTATGGAGCCTGTCGTAATAGCTTTCAATGGTATGATATAAGCATATGTAAGTGACTGGAAGGCAGAACATTTCAATCCGTGGTCTCAGTGCTGCTCCGGTTAAATATTCACTGTCGGTTAAAGCCCTTTCTGACTTCACTTCCCATCGACCCTTTGTTTCAGGAAGCAGTGTCATCTTCACCAACCAATCAGCATCGCCGCTTCACATTCAAATCTACGAATTCAAATGTATCCAGCCAATGAGCGTGCTTGCTGCCACACCAGTAGCATTTTAAACTTCTCCCGGAGACTGTTGTCAAAAAGGACTGTCTCTCACCGCGGTTGCACGCGTCCACACGGGCTGGAAAGGACTTTTTGAATGTTGGCGAGCCTGTCTTATTGATTCAATAGTTTTTTTAAACGCGTCTGAATGAGACACCGTGATCTTTAATCTGTTTTTATGCCTTGGGAAGTGGTTTTGCCCATTTTCGTGTAACTCTTTAAGCTATAGACAAGCTTGCGTTCTGCCAGGCGTTAGGTAGTTATTGTAGCTTTGTAGTTGGAATTTAAGTTAAGTGCTTCTTTCGACATGAGCGCAGGCGTAGCGAAGCCCACTGCCGCGCATAGCGACCCCAAATCGGCCCCGTTGAAAGAGATCCCCGACATCCTGGTGGACAGCCGCACGTCGCGTAGGTACTCCCGGGGAAGATTTTTGGGTAAAGGGGGGTTCGCCAAATGCTTTGAGATCACGGACCTTGAGAGCAAGCAGGTGTTCGCAGGGAAAATTGTGCCCAAGGCCCTCATCCTCAAGCAGCACCAGCGTGAGAAAATGAGCTCCGAGATCTCTATCCACAAAAGTCTGGACCATGCCAACGTGGTAGGCTTCCACGGCTTCTTCGAGGACGACAACTTCGTGTTTGTGGTGCTGGAACTGTGTAGAAGAAGGGTGAGAGGTTTTGATTTTCCAACTGTCCAGACTTTAAATTTGTGGTAATATACTTCTGTATATGAGATGTCTGTTTTTACATTTTAAATGTGATTAACTGACTGCCATTATGTGTAAATTCCAATTTACTTTTCTTGTCTCATTATGTAAAATTCTCTAGTAAAAAGAATAAACACAGCCCCAATTCAATGGAACAAGCAGCAAGTCATTCAAACAAAGTGGCTTTTTTATTTCACGTGAGATAGTGTGCAATCTTCAATGTCAAAAGATTGGCCAAACACCTTTTTTTATTGAAAACACACATTTTCAGTGAAATAAAATCTGTTCAGATTCCCCTAAAATTAATTCAGTGTGAAATTGCATATCAAACTAGTTTATTTTGAGGACAATTTACAATGAGTCAAAATTCTTCCTGAACGTTCCTTAAGTTCTGTGTGGTGTTTGAAGCTGAATTAAAGGTGTGATCCTAGTGGTGCTAAACTGTCTCACACCTGTTCTTTACTTTGGGGGATACGTTAGCTTTTTTTGGCTCGTTCACCATGGAAACGGGGATGCTGACATGTTTACCATCGGGCAGTGGTAGGAAAGACCAGATTCTCAGGAGATAATGAGCAGCTTTCTCCTGTGTGCCAGAGCCACACAGGACCTTTTCTTATTCCATCTAAAAGGTGCTCACTCTGTTGTGTAGACTCTGAAATGCATGTTGTTCTTGGGTTGATGCAGCGTTTGAATTTTCAGTTCAGAGGAATGTTAAGAATTGTACACTATTTTGACCTAAAAACAAAGGCATGGTAATTGACCATTTACTGCATGCTCAGGCTGTGACTTTAGCTCAAACAATCTGAATTTAATTGTTTTTATTCATATTCAAATTTGTCCGGGCCTAGTGCATGCAGCTAATCAATGCTGTCAACCCCGGTTCTTTATCTAGATAGGATGATAAACAACCGTGTATTAACTGGCACCGGTAGTACGTCCACACTCCCAGTGCATATGGATATAAAAAAAATATTTGGACCAGTTCTATAACAAAATTATGTTCGAATTTCAAGCTGGATCAAATCAGAGGCTCATTTGGTGGTTTGAAATTTCGCTTAAAAAATGTATTTGTCTAGCTTTCCTAATGATTTTATCCCCAAAAGGATTTCAAATCAATGATAGTAAATTCAGTTTTTGGAGTTATAACCTTTTTAATGTCCAGATACTTCAATTGATACTTTCCTGTAAACACACCCTTGAAGTACTTGATTGGTGAAATATAAAATTAATGCGTGCCTTGGTGACATGTTTTGGCCCTAGTCTCTGCTGGAGCTGCACAAACGTCGTAAGGCCGTGACAGAACCTGAGGCCCGCTACTTCATGATGCAGCTGCTGAAGGGTGTCCAGTACCTACACAACAACCGCATCATTCACAGAGACTTGAAGCTGGGAAATATCTTCCTCAACGATGACATGAATCTTAAGATTGGTAAGGGATAATCTATGGACTGTACAAACTGGACTGTGGACTGTACACTTTTCCAAACTCTTTTCGGGATTACATTACATATCCTCACTACGATGTATTGAACAGAGCTATTAAGCTTGATTTCAAAACAAAAATTTGGACTTTATAAGGATCCCGACACATGCATGCATGAATGAATGTGCTGGGTTAGTGAAAAGGTTATGTGCGCATCAGTCAATCGTGGTTTAACATAAGTCACAGCTAACCTATGCATTAAGGGCACGGTCAAATAGTTTTTTTTACAAACTAACTTGGCCAAGTGGCCCGGATCGTCGCCACAGGGATTGCTTCACGGGAGAGCGGAGAAATGGATGAATGAGAATGAAAAGTGTGGCTTACGAGAAGAGCAGCCAGGCAGGCATGTTTGTGTGTTCTGGTGACAAAGTAAAGCTTTTGGGGGGGCTCATATGAAAGGTGTAACACAAGCAATGAAGAGTATAGAATGCTAAAGTACGCGACTAGTCACTGATCACATGGCACCTAAAGCCTAGATCTGTTCGCAAAGTGGGCCCACTTTAACCCGGCTTTTGGCCGTGCATGTGACTGCAGCCTAAAATGATGACACTGAGTCAAGAGGAACTATTTCTGCAATGAAGTGCGGTCACATGCACGACCTAAAGCGCGGTTAACGTGGCCCAGGCCTACTTCGCGATTTGATCCGGCCTTTAGCTGCTATCTGGCCGTGGTTCTGCAATCGTGTTTGGGAGAGTTGGGCCTGAGCACGGTTGTAAAGCCCAGATGAGGGGGATCAGGTGTGGTGGGGACGTGATATTGTGAGTCACATTACGTCTTTTGTGACGTGATTTTTCACACATGTCTCTCCATGCATTTGCATACTTTTGCATTCTATACTCCATTGCTTGTGTTACACCTTTCCCCAAGAGACACTTTAATTTTATCGCCATAACACACCAACATTCACATTCCTGCCTGTCTCCAGTCGGTCTGCTCATAGGCCACGTTTTTTATTTTAATTCTCATTCATTCATTTCTCAGCGCTCACTTCACTCCAAGCCACGCTCCCGTGTCTGCCGCGTGACCCCACACACTTTACCCACTAAGCTGCTGCACATCGGAGAAAGACATGTCTCCGAATCACATTGACTCTGATTGAATAAGAAGAGAAAAGTATCTGAAATGTTGCACAAGATTCTGTTTGGTATCTTGATCAAAAAGGTAATGAAACTCATGCCTCTTTTTTGTTGCTATAGGAATGCCAAGAACTCTCCATGTTGTCAAATGGAAAATTTATCCAATCTCCTCTGGAGTTGAACAATCATACATAATTGGGACATTTAAAGTTAGTCACAAAATATTGACTCATAATGCGAGTGAAACAATCAATTTACTAAATTGCAGTTAGTAATACATACAACTTTGTTTTGGCATCTCAATCAAAAAAGTTAATTGTATATTCATGCCCATTTACGCCCCTTATGTTGCTGTGGCAATGAAACCTATTTTCTTAATTTGTGAAAAGCAAAACTGACATAGTGAATCCCCATTGGCTCCAAAGCCGATAACTGAGTGAAGGTGCAATATCCCCTCATAATCAGTGGGTGTGTCAGGAATGAAGCAGACAGAGACGGATCGTGGTGCGCCAAACTCTGGAAGTTTATTTAAGTTTCTCAAGTTCCAGTGGTTTCCATTGTTTCTTTCTCTCAGACAAAATGGAGTACACAGTACACAGTTTATATAGTCATTGTCACGTCACACATCGAAAGACATACGTGTCACACAGAGACAGTGCACATCATAGTCAAAACATGGAGTCATCATCAGAGTCCTTGTACAGTCCTGCACGTAGGCCATATTGCTATCTAATACTAACAGGTGCAATATACATTATTGCACCCACTGCCTGAGTCACAGAGCCTGTGGCTTGTCAATGCGAGCCAAGCATGTTTTTTTCTGCTCATGACACTTGCAGTGATGCCAATTTCAATCAAAATGCAAATGTATTTTGCCATTTATATTTTTTACAATAATATGGGTATTTTCTTTGCTTTTTATTATTGTGGCTTTTTGAATTAAAAATAAATTGCCCTAAAATTCATTTCACAATTTGACTTCAAGTGTGATGCTGCTGCCCTGGGTGAAGGCATCACATATTTTTAGGAAAAAAAGAAGCTACTCATTTCCAATCGTTGCGTTGTGTACAGGGGACTTTGGACTGGCCACTAAGATAGAGTTTGACGGCGAGAGAAAGAAGACCCTGTGTGGGACTCCAAATTACATCGCACCCGAGGTGCTGTGCAAGAAGGGCCACAGCTACGAGGTGGATGTGTGGTCTCTGGGCTGCATATTGTAAGTGTAAAAACGCATGCGGCTTTCAGAGTTAGGTGCTGAAGCTCACCACCTCACTGCTCTCAGGTACACACTGCTGGTTGGCAAGCCCCCGTTCGAGACGTCCTGTCTGAAGGAGACCTACAACCGCATCAAGAAGAACAACTACAGCATCCCCTGGGTAACTGCCATTTAGTAGTAGATAATAATAATACATTTTATTCAAAAGCGCCTTTCAAAACACCCAAGGACAATGTACAAGACATAATAAAAACAGGGGCAACAGATACTTTGACCAGTGGTTACAATATAGAACTGGTCACACAACTTGAAACCCATTAGAATAGTGCAACAAAAATAATACCTCATACACTGCTGTTGTGGATGCTCAAAGTATTTTTGTGGGTAGAATTAAATCTCCATCCTGCGGCAAAAGTGTTCCTAGTTGTGAGCAGTGCCCAGCTTTCCTCTGAAACTTAGCCACCATCTATGCACCATCTTGTCCCCGAACATTGGTGTGAAGGATTTTTTTCCAACTTCAGTATAATGGTCTGATGGTCAAACATTAGTGCAGCTTTATTCATCAACATTATTCTCCCATGATAACAGATTGCATCACTGCTGAATAATCTGCATTTCTGATTCAGAAATAGTCATAGCACAGGCTTCTTTTATTTGGATGAAATAAGTCGCTGATCACTAACTTGATCTGCAGTCTGGGTAGGGCCATCGATGTGTTCCCCTATAGGGGCAGTGCGATGAGCCCAAAGGCGTCAGTCGCTATAGCAGACTGAAGTATGCTATGTTTTCCTTGATATGAGTCTCATTGTGTTTTGTGTGTTCTCACTCACTGAATCTTGTGTTTTCTGTTGCAGCATATCCACCCCGCAGCGTCCTCCCTGATCAAACGCATGCTGCACGCTGACCCCACACAGAGACCAACAGTGTCAGAGATGCTGAGTGACGAGTTCATGACCTCGGGCTACGCTCCCCTTCACCTGCCGACCACCTGCCTTACAGTGTCACCACGCTTCTCCATTGCCCCGTCTACCGCACCTGAGCAACACAGGCGGCCTCTCACCGCCATCAACAACAAGGGTAAGCACCAGCCTGAGCCATACATCCATGTGCCTTCTATCTAAATACTCAACAAAAATATGAACGCAACACTTTTTTTTTTGCTCCCATTTTCCATGAGATGGACTTAAATATCTAAAATTCATTCCAGATACACATGATTTGTGAACATTGTTCACAAATCTGATAGTGAGCACTTTGCTGAGATAATCCATCCCACCTCACAGGTGTGCTACATCAAGATTCTGATCTGACATCATGATTAGTACACAGATATGTCTTAGACTGTCCACAATTAAAGGCCACCCTGAAATGTGCAGTTCTGTCTCTCAGCCAAATGCCACAGATGTCACAAGCATTGAGGGAGTGTGCAATTCGGGCGTTCTGCTCTCCCAAAATTCCATCCACTGAGCGGCGCTGTGATCAAAAAATGACACCGTTTGTTGCCCAGTTCACTTCCGGTTGATTTCATACAATGGCGAATATGGCTCACGAAAACAACAAACGATTGACAGTGCCTGAATTGCGTGAAAGGTTGAAGCGAAAGGGTATTTGCAGTGTGGGAAAACGAAAGGAGGAATTGTTGTTGCTAGTTCAACGAGCGGATAGTGTTTATGAAGATTTAGAAGAAGATGACAGCGAGCAGAGTGAACGAAAACGGCTGTGTGTGCGAGTGACAGATGGTAACAATGAGAATGAAGTTCAGCTAAGAGGGAAGAATGTGAATTGGACGGATGATTTGCGCGATATGCCACTAGTTAGAGACGGGAATGTATTTGCATACAGAAAATGACGAAAACGCTCAACCATTTAGAGAAAATGCGCCGGGCAGAGAGAACCGGAAGTTGCGAAGGCAAGTGTTACCCATAATGCAACGCAAAATTCAGTCGCTCCCCCGCCCATCGGATGGAATTTTGGGAGAGCAGAACGCCCGAATTGGCATGCTTACAGCAGGAAGGTCAACCAGATCTGTTGCTTGTGCATTGAATGTTCATTTCTCCACCATAAGCAGTCTCCAAAGGCGTTTCAGAGAATATGGCAGTACATCCAACCGGCCTCACAACCACAGACCACGTGTAACCACACCAGCCAGGGGAAGCTCAACTGCATGCTCGTCGTCCTCATCGGGGTCTTTACCTGTCTCCAGCTCGTCGCTGTAACAGACTTGAGTGGGCAAATGCTCACATTCGATGGCGCGTTGGAGAGGTGTTCTCTTAACGAATGAATCTCGGTTTGCATTGTTCAGGGCAGATAACAGTGTGTGTGGCATCGTGTGGGTGAGCGCTTTGCTGATGTCAATGTTGTGGATCGAGTGGCCCATGGTGGTGGTGGGGTAATGGTATGGGCAGGCATCTGTTATGGTCCAAGAACACAGGTGCATTTTATTGATGGCTTTGTGAATGCACAGAGATAATGTGATGAGATCCTGAGGCCCATTGTTGTGCTATACAACCATGAATATCATGTTTCAGCAGATAATGCACAGCCCCATGTTGCAAAGATCTGTACACAATTCTTGTGTTCTCTGAGCATGTTTGGGATGTGCTTGACGGGTGTATACAACAGCGTGCACCAGTTCCCACTATGGATGTAAATCGGTGACCGTTTAACCGGTGGTTGACAGTCACAGCATTAACCGGTCAAAGCTGTCAGTTAAAAAAAAGAAAAGGAGAGGGGAGGTCTCTTAATAACGCTTTTTTAAGCCCTATTTGCACAGTGTGACGAGCGGGTCCATCTCTAGCTGTGTGTGCCCACTCTCATGCCACACGCGCCACATATGCACACACTTGCACGCGCGCGCAAACACACACACACACACTTTCCCCCTCTCCATACGTAACATCCACACGCATCATCTCCCCCCTCTGTTACCGCCTGCTAGTTGCGCACTGGTGCGGGTCAGAACTACATCGGAGCTTACATTTACACACACATACATGTATTGTGTACACACATACCGGTCTGTCGCGCTCCTCTGTGTCTTGTCATTAGATCAGCTCCACACACATCACTTTTAAACTTTAGCGGAGACCTGTGAGACGCGGCTCGTCACTCGCTGCTCTGACCATGTGGACGTTCCGTCTTTTGCTAAAAAAATTTTTAACCCGCAGCACAGCAGAATGGGAAGATTAAAAAAGCAGTTCTCTGTGCGCAAAGGTGCTGAAGCTGTTGCGGGTTTTGGCGCCGCTGTCTCAGCTCTGATCCAGCAGAACGCAGAGCTGCACTTATGAGAAGTATGCGGCTCGAAATGGCTGTTATTTCTAAGAACGTGAAATATTTTTAACTACGCGGTTAACCGGTTTCAACCGGTTGATGAGGCTCGGTGGTCGGTCATGAAAATTCATAGTTTTTTTACATCCCTAGTTCCCACTGATATCCAGCAACTTCGCACAGCCTTTGAAGAGGAGTGGACCAACATTCCACAGGCCACAACTGACAATCTGATAAACTATGCAAAGATGTGTAGCACTGCATGAGGCAAATGGTGGTCAGACCAGATACTGACTGGTTCTGAGTCCCCAGACCAGAATAGAGCAAAATAATGCACATTTCAGGGTGGCCTTTTATTGTGGACAGTTTAAGGCACACCTGTGCGCTATTCATGTCAGATCAGCATCTTGATGTGGCACACCTGTGAGGTGGGATGGATTATCTCAGAAAAACAAAAGTGCTCATCAGCACACATTTGGTCAAATTTGTGAACAATTAGTTTGTGTAAGCTCTGTCGTACAGGGATTAATCAAAGCAAAGAAAGGTTTCTCACCCATCATCTGTACTTAGCAGGTTTTCCCTAAATTTCGTCCATAATCCAAATAACTTTTTTGAGAGAATTAAATCTCAGACCGTGCATTTATTTATATACTATGGTACCACACCCTAATCCTGAGGCTAACTCATTACAATCTAAGGTCCGTTTGATGTGGAAGGGAGCAGGTCTAACGATCCTAACTCATTAGCATGTCACAGGCCTATTGTCTGCTGAGATTGCTCGAGTGGAGTGCAGATTAGGGCTGGGATAAACGATTATTTTTTAAACGATTAATCTAGCGATTATTTTTTCGATGCATCGATTAATCTAACGATTATTTTTTTCGCTTCGATTCGATTTCGATTCTCGATTATCTCCCCATTAATTGACTAATATTGATGTATACATGTTGATTTAAATATTTTAATGAAAAAAACATGAATTCCTTCACAAAAAATATGTATTGCTTGCTCTTAAAATTAAAAAATAAGACATTCTTAGAGGTAGCATAAAACCTTAAAGCCTTGAAAACACAGCTTACTGAAAAAAGTGCATCTTATCATTCTTGAAACAAACATTTGATGCTTAGCATTCAATAAAAATATGAAAAAGTTCAGCCAAATACTTGTGTAGAGCAACTAAAAGAAAACAGTAACCAATGTAAACTTGAAGGCTTTAAGCTAAACAAAGAGTGCTTTTCCAGCAAAAACAGTGGGAGCCATCAGCCTGTCATGGCTACATAAGAGTGTAGAGTGGCCACAGGACGCGTCATCAGCCTACGTCAGCAGCCGCGGACTGCTATGAAAACATTAGCTTTGTGGTTTCACAGGCGCAGTTGACTGCTTAAACTAAACTTTGCACGAAACTTTGACTCTTAAAACCCACATGTGACAAAACGGAACCATCAACATATCGCCTCAAATTGCATTAAAAGTGACATTCGTGTCTGAATTCGTTCGTATTTTAACTTTTAAAGAAATTCACGGTCCGCCATCTTGGTTTGCTTCGGCTGCCGTGAGACGCGCATGCGCAGGTTTGCATTACATGATAAACAGCTGAGGCTGTGCATCTCTTCAAGACAGTGTATCTCAGCGTTACACCGGCTTGCACTTCTCTAACACGGCACTCGCATTGCTACCGCTCGCCGCCATCTTTGTTTTGTGTGTGACGCACCGACGCGCATATTATACGTCGGTGTATTTTTTGCGTCGACGTCACCGATTACGTCGACGCGTTGTCCCAGCCCTAGTGCAGATCTAACCACTCCTCATTTGCACTTCACTGACCTTATCTATAGTTAGGGCGTTGTTTTTAGGACGTCGTCATAGATGCGAGGCAAAATAATTATATTAATAATCATACATTAAAAATGTACATTAAAAATACAAGTGTTGTTTCTGTTCACATTGTAAAATATCAGTAAAGGGAAAAAAACCCTTCTGCTTGAAAATGTGTGTTTCACAAAAAGACTGTTTTCTCCATATCTTGGTCAGGAAATAGCATTTTGTGTGAAAGTTACCCATATTGTACTCTCCACTGCTTAAAAACTAAAAGGGGTAGAAACTTTTTGAAAAGGCAAGAGACCAAGCTTTCATTTGGTATGTTTCATACTTGTGTCAACCAAGGGCTCACAATTATGAGGTTTGGAAAAACACTAAAAATATCTAAAATCTCTGGCAGTATGAAGGATGCTGGTTTACATATGGCTGGCAAAATAATGTCTGTTTTGATTCGTTCACAAGATTTTAAGATGTCTGCGCTTTAATTTCAGGAGTTTTGGTTGCGCTTCAGTAGGAGACACGGAACATGGGTGTGCGTTCACTGAGCTGTTGTCAAAGCCACTGTCATTTGCAAAGCGGCCACAGCTGCCCTGGGGTCAGAGCGAAGGATGTGAATCCGGTTCAGAAATGGCATAATTAGGGCTGGGCGATAAAACGATAACGATATATATCGCGTTAGACTTGGTTCGATATCAATAGAGAATGGGGTCGATAGAATGTTCGATAGTTTAACTTAACTCCGTCAGGAAAAACAGGAAGAAAACACCGGAAGTAAAGCCGACTCATAAGCGCATGGCATTGTGGGGGATGTAGGCAGAGGCTTCTCGACCAATAACAGCCGAGCAGGAACCACAAAACTTTGTGGGAAATGCAAAAACAACAACAACCGCAGTGTGCGTAGCGTCCATGGATCTATAGCTCGTGTTTCAATGCCGTGTCAATGGTTATGCACGTACGTGCGCGGAATAACATGTGCGGCGGCAGAGGCAGTGGACAGAGACGATGTATTCGGCGAAAGCAAGAGATTAACTTTTTCCTCGGGAAGCATGTGCGGCACAGAGAGCCGCACGGAGCGGTCACGGGGACACAAGACTCTCAAACAGCTAAACCAGGAATAAAAAACCAGGACTAACCACGAGGGACACAGTGTGAACATATTCCTCCAGCCTCATCGCCCCGTGACTGTAAACAAGGCTGCTAAGGTTGGTTAGCCCACACAACAAATTTATTTATTTAGGTAAAAAAAAAAAAACTCGTTATCGACCGATATGAATGACTTATATCGTGATATAGTTTTCAGCCATATCGCCCAGCCCTAGGCATAATTCATTTCCAAAAACGTCTTTATCACTTTCACTTCTCACAAGCCACAATGCTCCTTGCTACCTGTTACATCCGGTGGTCGCGTCCAATTCATACGTTTTCAAAGAAATTATCTATCTGACTTAGATTTAGATAGACTTAATTGATCCACAAGGGAAATTGTGTTGTCACAGTAGCTTATGCTGCCACCTATTGATATGAAAAAATGTTACATGGTTACGCCACAGTTCAAAACCAGTCAGCACTTGTCAACATTCATTTTAGACAAAGTAGGCAAATTTCTCACGGCACACCAGACAATATCATACAGCACAGTGGTTGTTTAGGTAATTTTTTGCAGTGCATACTGAACCATCTTGTGCATCCTAAAGTGTAATTGAAGGATGTTAGTCGAAATCACGGGTGTACAAACGGGTCCAGAAAGGGCCACTGGTTTTATATTGGACCCAGTACCAGGGGAAAAAAAGCAACCTCCAAGCATTTCCTCAAGTGGGTTCAGCCTTAACCAGCTGCATGCTCTGCTGGATCTGATAGAAAACTTGCAGCCACAGCAGCCCTTTGTGGAGCGGTTTGGACACCCCTGGTCTAATCTTTATTTGAAAAAGTGCCCAGGCTTTTACAGCATAATTGGATGGATGGAACAAGACTTTTTTTTTTTGTTTGTTTTATTTGAAAAGTTTATTTCTACTAGTCTAGGTATTGGGCTTAAATCAATGGGGGCATATTTTGGACAGCATACCAACTAAGCTCCGACTTTGGAGCTTGAGCGGGGGAAGACAACCAGCAGTTCGTCGCATTAAAGTGTAGATTTAAACGCGGCGGCACGGTGGCTGAGTGGATAGCACTCTCGCCTCTCAGCAAGAAGGTCCTGGGTTCGAATCCCGGTCGGACCAGGGCCTTTCTGAGTGGAGTTTGCATGTTCTCCCCGTGTCTGCGTAGGTTTCCTCCGGGTGCTCCGGTTTCCCCTACCACTAAAAATATGTCCAATAGTTCTGGCATGCGCCTCCTGTACTGGCGACCCCGCTCCCATCTCTGTGTGGAGTGAGAGACAAATGCCCAAAATTAACAATTGTAAACCGCTTTGAGACTCAGATCTGCAGTGAAAAGGCGGTATATAAATAAAAACTTACTTACTTACTTAAAGAGAACTGAAAGATTTAATCTGAATCTTTTACACACAAAAAAGTATGACAAAATCCAACCTTTCTGATAGCTGTAGGTTCTCTGTCAGCTAAGGTCGAGCTGTTTTAGTGTGCATTAAGTTCTATGGGACATTTTCCTGAGTAGTTCATGTGAAATGTAGGCTGCAATACATTAATGAGGGCCCATTAATGTGTCGCTCCGCTCTTAGCAGCAGCTTTGGTCAGAACGCTCATGTGATACTCGGGTCCTGCAGAAGTAGAACCATTCTTTTATCACGCCTACAACACCTCGGCCTCTCTGGTGCTGTCCACAAATGGTTCACTTCTTATTTAACAGACAGATCCTTCATGGTAAGTTTGGATACCTGCTCCTCTCAGGTCCATAAAATCACATGTGGTGTGCCCCAGGGTTCCATTTTAGGTCCAGTCCTTTTTAACCTGTACATGCTCCCTCTTGGCGGTGTCATCAGGAGACATGGAATTGACTTCCACAGTTATGCAGATGATACACAGCTGTACATCTCCATGTCTCCTGACGACACCAGGCCAATGGATGCTCTTTTTAACTGCATTTTAGACCTGAAATCCTGGATGGCAGAAAACTTTCTCCAGCTCAACCAGGACAAAACTGAGGTTTTAGTCATCGGCCCTGAGGCCCAGAGAGAGAAACTTTTACCGAAACTCCAATCACACTCTTTTAATCCATCATCACAAGTGAAAAACCTGGGCGTAATCTTTGACTCTGAGCTGACTTTTATTCCTCACATCAAGAACATCACAAAAATAGGTTTTTATCATTTAAAGAACATCGCCAGAGTCCGCCCCATTCTCTCTCGGGCCAACACGGAGACGCTGATGCATGCTTTTATCACCAGTCGCATTGACTACTGCAGCCATTCCCAAACTCAGTAACACCGAGGCCCCCTTAAAAATCTGATGGGTCTGCGTGGCCCCCCAAAATAATAACCAAGAAGACAACATTAGGAATAGGCTCTTCTGGTTATTTTATTTTGGGGAAATAGCCTCTGCTACAAACATTTTAATACAAAAATGATTACAGTGGATTATTCAAGTCAAATAATGAACACAAATATTTTAATATTACAAACAAAACATTATAAATTTAACATTAAATAAAAATAATATATATTTTTTTTTATGACCTCCCGCGGCCCCCCTGCAGTACCCTCGCGGCCCACCAGGGGGGCCGCGGACCCCACTTTGGGAGACACTGGACTACTGTAATGCCCTGCTCTCTGGTCTTCCCAAAAAGAACATTTCAGGTTTACAATTACTTCAAAACTCGGCCGCACGTGTCCTGACTAAGACCAGGGGGCGGGACCACATTACACCGGTTTTAAAATCGCTGCATTGGCTCCCCGTGTGTTTCAGGATCGATTTTAAGGTTCTTTTAATGGTTTTTAAATGTCTTAATGGTCTTGGGCCTTCTTATCTTTCAGATTTGCTTTTATCCTATGAGCCTTCCCGGCCCCTGCGCTCCTCCGGCAGCAGACTCCTAACCATCCCCAAAGTCAGGACACACACTCACGGCGAGGCATCTTTCCAGCACTACGGCCCCCGTCTCTGGAACAGTCTGCCGGAGGAGCTCAGGGCCGCAGAGAACGTTCATATTTTTAAGAGTAGGCTCAAGACGCACCTTTTTAGAGCAGCTTTTGATTAGTATTTATTATCTATTATTGCTTTTTAGTACATCTATTTATGTTTTTAGACGGATTATATTTTTATTTATTTTTATTATTTACTATTTTTAATTATTTATTGTCTCTACCCATTTACTATTGTTATTATCAATATTAGGCAGCTGCCATTTTTCTTTTTATTTTCACATTTTATTGTTCTACTTTCTATTGTATTATTGTATTGTTTTAGTGTCCCCAGTGTTTCCTCTGGAGGAGCCCTCTGCACTGAGAGCTGGGGTCTGCTGTGGCTTCGGGGGACTGGCTCTTGGATCCGGTGGGGGTCTGGGGCCTCCTCTCTCCTCTGGGTCCTATGGGGTCTGAGTCCTGGGCCTGGTGGGGTCTGGGGCCCCTCTCTCCTCTGGGTCCTGTGTCGTTGCCTGTGGCTGCAGCCGGCTCTCTGCTCCTGGTGCAGATGGCTCCTTGGATGACGCTTCTTCAGCCGGTTACATCTGCTCCCAGCCCCATTTCTTTTTATTGTTTTACCTATTTTACCTGATATGACTTTATACTTGTGTATATGTGTGTGTGTGTGTGTGTATTGTATATATAATTATAAATGTGGTTTTGGGGGGTCTGTGGGGAGGAGGGTTTAGGGCTGGGCATGTTGGATTGTTTTTAACTAAACTGTAAAGCACTTTGTGTTACACTTTTTGTATGAAAAGCGCTTTATAAATAAAATTTGATTGATTGAACAGAGACTGATTTCTACCAGCTAACATGCTGTTGTTTGTGTTGCAGGATCAGAGAAGGTGGAGCTAAAGGAGGAGCAGCCGCAAAAGTAAGAGCAGCCCACTCTGCTACAACTGACACTAGCTTTGTCACAGAAGGCTCTGCGAGGACAAGCTCTGGTCAGAGGGACGTTTGTCAGCAGGGTATCTGAAGACCAGCTTTGGGTCAGGCGTAAAGTCGCTTTGCTCGTCACTATCGAAATGGGTTAGGGCAGGGGTGTCCAAACCGGACCGGTTTGGACACCCCTGCATTAGTCTGAACTTACTTGAGTGTAAGTGTGCTTGGTTTGAATGGACACCTGCTGCCACCACATGGCCCATTTGATCAGTAGTCCCCAATCCCCTTTTTAGAGCTGTGTCAAGCTGGTACAAAAATGCACGCTTTATTAAAGCAGAGGGATTCTCATCAAAGTCTAATGCACGTGTTTGGATTATAAAAGTTTATTATAAAAAGATAATCAAACATTTTGATCAATAAGATTATCTTGGATCGTTTCCAAAAGCACACTAACGAGCCACGGCACAATGGTTGAAAAACATTGCTTTAGAAGACCGGGTTGAGAATGATGGCATGTTCTGAAAGTGTTGTTGTCCTTAGGGAGTCAGAGCAGGATGATCACCTCAGAGACCTACTGCAGCAGATCATCGGCCTGATGTCTACCAAGCCCTCAGAGAGACCCAACATCCGCCAAGGTCTGTGCCTCTTTCGCAATGTTGCAAATGAGCAGAAAAAACATGCAGATTATTTCTGTAAAATGACATAAAATGTGCACTGCTAAATTGTCATGTGTATAATTAAGCAGAATTTATTGGTCACAGCTTTGGTTTGAGTAAACTAAAGAGTTTCTTGGATTTTTACTAAAGGAAAACAAACTTGTGTTTCAGAGGAGGCTGAGGACCCTGCCTGTATCCCCATTTTCTGGATCAGCAAATGGGTAGACTACTCTGACAAATATGGACTGGGTAAGTACACCGGCTCAGTCACATGAGCAGCTTCTGCCTGTTAAACGATCCCTTTTGTTAGATTTTACAGTTCAATTAGTCAACGTGCTATCCAAATAAAGTTGACTTGGGTGGCTCTTGTGCATACTGTAGTGTCTAAACAAGGTCTTTGCTGCCCCCTGCAGGTTACCAGCTGTGTGACAACAGTGTAGGCGTGCTGTTTAACGACTACACACGGCTCATCATGTACACTGACGGAGATAGTCTGCAGTACATAGACAAAACTGCTGCCGAATCTTATCTCAGCACGCGCTCCTACCCCTCCGCCCTCAACAAGAAGGTGTGTACACACTCTTACCCATTTTGTATGGACATTTATCAACACCTGTGTTTTTTTATTTGTTTGATTCTCTGATCTGTGTTGGTGATTTCAATGGTTTTGTCAAGTCCTCTGAGATGACTACTGTTGTGATTTAGGGAATACACTGAATTTAAGTTAATTGAACTGTACACACTCCTACCACTCTGCACTCGACACGGTCTACACTTAAAAGTGAATGGAGCCGGTACATACAATACATTAACACTTTCCTAATGTGCTTCAACTGTTAATACCCCTATTCATTATGAAGAGCCTCGTGTATAAATGAACGACTGGAGGCCTGTAGCTTATAAGAAGCAGATTCAATCTCAGTTTATGCAGCGTCAAGTTTATTTTTTGACGTAATTGACATTTTCTCTAAAGCAGTGGTTTGTTGTGTTGGGTCCAGTCCTGTCTCGGGTCATGATGTTAGTGTTGCCCTGTCCTCTCACCAGATCACACTGCTGAAGTACTTCCGTAACTACATGAGCGAGCACCTACTGAAAGCCGGAGCAAACATGGTCCGGCGGGATGGGGACGAGCTGGCCCGCATGCCCTACCTCTCCCTGTGGTTCCGAACAAAGAGCGCCATTGTGCTGCACCTCACCAATGGCACCGTGCAGATAAACTTCTTCCAGGTCAGTATCATGATAATGTTATTGATGGGACAAAATCAATTCAACTTTTTTTTTACCGTCTAGGATGTCAAATTCAAAACAACATGAATTAGGAAGACTTTCACATTTCTCAAACTGGACTGTTTCATCCAGTTCAATCCAAACAAATGTTGTACAAAATATCAGAATTTGAGAATTCATGTTAAATAGTTTTTTGGGACAAACTTATTCTATAAATCTATAACTTGCTAATGAGCACTTGACCTGTAGTTGACCAAAGACATTCCTGCTCAATTGATTCCGAGTTAGTTATCATTAGCTTTAAACCAGGGTTCACATAAACGCTGTTCCCATGGTTGTCCGCAGGGATCTACAATCTGTTTTGATCATAGATCTCAACTTACAGGACAAGAGCCCAATTATTTTGTGTATGAGCCAGAGAAGGAGGGACAAGGCTGGGTCTACTTTTTGTTAAAACCTTAGTGCCTTGTGTGGACGTATTACACAGCTACAGTTGTTATAGTTCAGTTGAGTACCCAAGTTTTAACATGGCTGAAAAAGAGTGTTCCAGAGCTGGGGAGTGGCTAAAGGCTCTACTCTCCATAGTGACTAGGCAGGCAGGAGCTGAGAGCGGTCAGGTGTGGAGGTTGGGAAAGCACTTTTCTTTGGGGAAAGTACTTGTTAAAATGATCCAGAAGGGATTGGAGATGGCCAGTAATTGACTCCCAGACAATGTCCTTGAAATTCGTTGAATTTGGCAAACATGTCAAATGGAGGGCTGGATAGAGCCCTCTATCCAGCCCTCCATTTTACGCACAAATGTTATCATTGAGAGACAGGATGGTTCTGTTCTTGCCCTGCAATGACATGTTCAGTCCATTTAGTTTTTCAAATATAGATGACAAATATGCCAGCTTTGTAACCCAGCCAGGATCAGTGAGGTGCTCTGCAAAGGAGATCTTTGTATGAGCTGAGTGATGAGACCTCAGTGACCAAACTGTTCAGCACGTTGCCCCGCGATAGCCAGCGGACTTCTATGTGGAGCAGCAAGCCCTGGTGCTCTGACCACATTTCATTGCAGAGAGTTGAAAATGGTCTTAAGTGGTTGTTATTTAATGTGATTGACCATTTTTACTGCAGTGTCAAGGACGTGTTTTAACTCGGTTCAGTGATTTTACTTGAGAGGGCTTCTCTGTGTATGATGCATGAGTAAATATGACATGTGGTGCCACTTGCAGGACCCTTATTTTTTCCAAGCAAATCCAGTTTGTTAATGTCCTCGCCAGTGCACGTTCCCTCCAGCTGCATGCAAAAAAGCATTTCCTTGCCAAGCTTTCCCGCAAATGTACCTATCTAAAACATAGAGCTGGGCGTTTTTGAAGACGTCGGTGGACTCGTCCAATTGTAAGGAATACTTCCCTCCCCACACTGCATCAATTAGTTGACGTTTGATGTTCAGTGCCATGTCACTGATGCGGCGGCCAAAAGTCCCGTCTGAAAGCGGCACCTGTTGGAGCTCCACGGCTTGTTTATCACCATGCTTAAGACGACTCATAGCTATTGCCGCTGGCTTGATAAAGTTTCACCTATCGTTTAGGGATTTTTAGTCAGTGATATTAAATATGCCACTTCTTGGGAAGCCATCTCAGCTTTAGGGGGATTGCTTGTGTAGTTAAGTGTTTTTTGCCCTCTTAACTCTCCCACTTTGGAACCACTGGTCTAGGCGGGAGGTGATGAGGCTGTGTAAGAGTATGGCAGTGGTGAGATGGGATAGAGAAGGCAGTCTGTGGACATTTGAGATGGAGTAGGCAATGTGAGTGATTATTTGTGCGGAGAAGGGGAGGGTGCTGTGATGGGTGACACCCAGACTTTCCCTGAGGAGAGAGGGAAATGGGGAACTGTCAATGGGAATGGAAAAATTGTTGATTTCAATAGCCACATATAAATGCTGTGACCAAAGACTTAAGCCTAGTGTATACTTGCGCAGAGCTTATGGTAGTGAACTTGACCAATGCAAGGATCACCACAACAACTTGTATAGCCACCCCTACTCCCTCAAATTTCTAACTACGCAGCCGGCCCCGCAGAAAAGGTCCACTGTGATTGTTCTTTTGCACTGTTTCTTCGCTTGTCTTTGTTTAAATCTGCACTTGTAGCTTATCACGGCTGTTGCATCCTGCACTTGTAAATAGTTAATGTTTAGTCTCAGATAATTACCACTTATTTTGCAGTTTGTGCACAAATACGCTTTAATAACTATCCAACAAGAACTGTCTTTATTCACAGCATCAGTTAAATGAGTTATGAAACAATTAGCCCTTAGAACTATCACATAAACCTACTCCTAGATACACATGTAATGAGCTCTGTTTTTGTTCTGAAGAGAAGAAAGTAGCTGGAGTAAATGGGACTGCTTTAGTGTCCCAGGCAACTCCTGTGAGATCGCCATCACGTGGTTGGGTGAGGGATTACAACATTCTCTTCAAAACTACGCAGGGGGGGTATGCACGAGTGTACAAGCAACTGGCTGCGTAGGGCCAGCACAACCGCTAACATAACCAACGGCGTGCAAGTATACACCGGCCTTTACAGCCCTTGTAACTAGGTGCAAAAGTGGAGTTGGACAGCTGGCTGCTGATTCGTTACATTTTTGTCAGGGGCCAAAATAAATTACTTTGACACCCCTGTACCAAGACAACAATGGTCCTTTTTCTGCCCCCCCAGGACCACACCAAGATGATATTATGCCCGCTGATGGGAGCAGTCTCCTACATCGATGAGAAGAAGGAATTCCGCACATACAAGCTGTCTCTTCTGCAAGAGTTTGGATGCAGTAAGGAGCTGGCCAGCCGCATCCGATATGCCAAGCTGATGGTAGAGAAGCTCCTGGACACAAAGCCAACGGATGCTGCACACTCGTAACGCACACAGAATGTGCAATTTTATACCAGACGAGTTGGTCCACTTTGGCCTGTTGCCATAACTACTGTTGTACTGTATCTTATGCTGTCAAAAGTGCAGAATACCAAATTCAATTTGATTTAAGCAGCTCATGATAATGGTCTAACTCAGATAGTGCACTTCTAAAATAAAAGATTTGGTCACACAAAATGATCAGAAGAATATACATAGTCCAGCTACGGTATTTAGTCACTGACAGGCCATTTTGTAAATAAATTGTGCTGACTTGTATTACGTGTGGCACTAAATGATTTTTATGCCTTCAACTCATGTTCTGTCTGTAGATTTGAAAGGTTTTTTATCATGTTTGTGTTTTTATGTGTTTAGGACGTCATCTGGACGTTGTAAAGATGCCAGATGTGTTTAAATAAAGATTCTGTTAATACCAGAGACACTGCAGTGCTTTTATTGGATTTTGTTGTACGTACAAGACTGTTGCATGAATACTTTAAAGAATAGATACATTTTTTCAATTCTATTGAAAGGGGTAACAAAATCTTTAAAGTGATTGTCTGTAACTAAATGAATTACAAATATTAGGAAATGTGTTAAATGGCCTCAAATGTTGATAGTTAAGTCCTGCCTTCCCTTCTCTTAGCTATAGTTCAGAATCCACGATGCCGTCTACGTTACCCATCGAGGCTTGCCAAGGGCTGTCAATCATCAGCGCTGATGCTCGTAGCTCCGCGCATGCTCAGTTGTTTTCGTGGAGTATCGCATCAAGCCTTTATAGGCTCTGGAACTACATGAAAACTGAACTGCGCTGAGTTACCCATTTATATACTGAACCTATATCCATAATCAGATCCTCTGCAGATGTGTTCTATAATGTGCAATTCATGATAGCTTGTTCCGGGTTTGCGGCGATCGCTTTTTTTGTGCATACAATTTTTTTTCATTAAAACGTTAATTCAGAAAACCTCTGTGCATGTGTATTAATAATGTATATGTATGTGTTCTGATTCACATTTAAAAGTGTTGCGGAAACTTAGGTGTAGACCAGGGGTCGGCAACGTTTGTGACATGGAGTGCCAGTTTGAAACTTTCTTCTCATCTAGTGGGTCATTACCATCGATAAACGCAAAGTTAAAATATGACACAAAATGCATAAACATTTCCAATATACCTGGAATTTTATTAACAATAACAGTATCTGTATTCAAAATAATTTAGCCACATCAACATTTCAAAGACTGAAAAACAGCTAGTGTAGCATATAACAATATTAAGTCCAGTAAACTGATTGTATTTGGGCTCGGACCAGAAGCTAGGATTCGGCTCACAGAGGGAGAGGTGTTTAAAATCACAGACAACAAAGACAGTGGTATGGTCCAGATGTGAATTATGTTAAAAGATAGATATTAGGGGTGCAACGGCTTGAAAAAAAATCACGGTTCGGATCGTATCTCTGTTCAGAGGCCACGTTTCGGTTCATTTTTTGGTTCATTTTTCAAAAACAAAAGTTTTGTCTATTTAATAAACACGGCTCATGTGGACTCGGCACCTGCAGGAGGATCAGTGAGGGGCTGATGCTCTGCGTACTGGGTGCAGCTCTGACTGCCACCCCCCTGACCCAGAAATGGATTGATTGATGGATGTCCAGTCCAGCCTCATTCACTGCATTTAATTAATTTTTGGCATCAGTTGTGACTGGAATATTAGTACTGGGCCTTTGTCTTCCATTCCTCCGCTGCTTGTGTCAGTACCTGTGCTGTGTGCCTGTACTGACACACTTGACTTTCGTAGAGGGGGCGTGTCTGTAGCGCCGGACTTTTCATCTCCCAGTCTGCTGTGATGAAGTGAGCAGTTATCGTAACATCTCATGGATTAACCGCTCATGGATCTATTATACTGTATGTTCCGCGGGACGTCCAAGCCTCAGTCGTGAGCGCAACTGAGGATACGCGGGAGAGTTGACTTTAGCCCGGTCTGACTGTGCATAAAGGAGCTGCTTAAATACCGCGACAATAAGCGGTCGTTGAGACGCTTTTTTTCACTCATGTCTTTCTTGTGCCAAAGTATTTACACATCGTGACAGTTTTGTCGACTCTTTAATCACCAGTATAGTTACAGTGAAGCCAAAATGCTCTCATATCGGGGATTTAAATTACGCGGGGCTTTCAAGTGTGTGGACTGAACAACATAGTGGGAGCGCACAACTTTTTTTTTCATAAATCAAACCGCGGATCACGTCTGTACGGAACCGAAGACGTTGATCCGAACGGATCACGGATCAGTGATAAACCGTTGCACCTCTAATAGATATTTACAAAGGCAGGGGATAGATTACACACACCCCACATTCACAATATTTACAAAAAATAATTGAACGGGTTTTGAGTGAGAGAGTCCGGTTGAGTTGGGTTTGGCAGGTTGGTTTGAAAAGGTGGAGCGTGTACTTTGTAGTAATCCAGTTCAGGTTATTGTCTCAGTTTGTGGTGTTGTGTCGGGGAGCAAAGACTGCTCGCCTCCTACCACACTGTAGGGTTGACAGTCTCTAGGTTTTCGGCCTGGGGCAGCTCGCCATCAGAAGTCCATATGGACGGACGGATCCAAGTAACCTGGCCTGCATGACAGGACCAATATAAATATCCAACAGTTTCATTTAGCAATATATCACTACTACAAAAATACATGTACATGTTCAATAAATATATACTCAATAATCAGAGTGCTCATTCTCACTTCATAATTCACCATCAATCCTCTGCACCATAAATCACAATGCAATTAATTCAGTTCAGTGCACATATCAAAAATATACAGTGGGGCAAAAAAGTATTTAGCCAGCCACCGATTGTGCAAGTTCTCCCACTTAGAAAAATGACAGAGGTCTGTAATTTTCATCATAGGTACACTTCAACTGTGAGACATTGTAGGATTTTTAAGGAATTTATTTGTAGATTATGGTGGAAAATAAGTATTTGGTAACTTCAAACAAGGAAGATCTCTGGCTCTCACAGACCTGTAACTTCTTCTTTAAGAAGCTCTTCTGTCCTCCACTCGTTTACCTGTTTGAACTCGTTATCTGTATAAGGAGCGTCTGTCCACAGCCAGTCAGACTCCAAACTCCACTATTGTCAAGACCAAAGAGCTGTCAAAGGACACCAGGAAAAGAATTGTAGACCTGCACCAGACTGGGAAGAGTGAATCTACAATAGGCAAGCAGCTTGTTGTGAACAAATCAACTGGGAGCAATTATCAGAAAATGGAAGACATACAAGACCACTGATAATCTCCCTCGATCTGGGGCTCCACGCAAGATCTCATCCCGTGGGGTCAAAATGATCATGAGAACGGTGATCAAAAATCCCAGAACCACACGGGGGGACCTGGTGAATGACCTGCAGAGAGCTGGGACCAAAGTAACAAACGTTACCATAAGTAACACACTACGACGACAGGGAATCAAATCCTGCAGTGCCAGACGTGTCCCCCTGCTGAAGCCAGTGCATGTCCAGGCCCGTCTGAAGTTTGCCAGAGAGCACATGGATGATACAGCAGAGGATCTGGAGAATGTCAAGGAGTGGCTCCGTAACAAGCATTTGAAAGTTCTGGAGTGGCCTAGCCAGTCTCCAGGCCTCAACCCCATTGAAAATCTGTGTTGCTCGGCGACAGCCCCGAAACATGGAGGAATGGGCCAAAATACCAGCTATTGTGTGTGCAAACCTGACCTATTGTAATTGTAAGACCTATTGTAATCGTTTGACCTCTGTTATTGCCAACAAAGGTTATATTACAAAGTATTGAGTTGAATTTTTGTTTTTGACCAAATACTTATTTTCCACCATAATTTACAAATAAATTCTTTAAAAATCCTACAATGTGAATTCCTGGATTTTTTTCCACATTCTGTCTCTCACAGTTGAAGTGTACCTATGATGAAAATTAGACCTCTGTCATTATTTTAAGTGGGAGAACTTGCACAATCAGTGACTGACTAAATACTTTTTTGCCCCACTGTATGTATTAATACTTTTGGTTCAAGAGCGCACAAGCAAATTTCAGGCTCTGGTAACCATACATGAGCACATGAAAAGGCATAGTCGGCTACACAGGGAATCAACATGATGAGAACAACATTAGAGTGTAACATCGCATCAGAGGCTAGCGCTAGCATTCTAGCTCTGTGCAGAACAAAAATACATAAACTCACCAGTTCCCTCTTTGATTTCACACACACAGTGTTGACAGCGTCTCCCAATGATTGTAGTAGACGCCTGCAGTGAATGGCACACCAGTTACTACTTTGAATGTGCAAAAAATAAGTTTAAAGAAGCTATACCCGATTTTTTTTCTAAGTAGTTCATACAAATGCTTTTTACTACATACAAGTTGTATCATAATACATCATTTAATTGAAAACTTGAGGTCATTGATTCAGCTGTGTAAAAATTACAAGCACTGAAAAGTGCTGAGTAGAGTCTCAAGCCTAGTTTATACTCGCGCGGCGCGGAGCTTAAGCCTAGTTTATACTCGCGCGGCGCGGAGCTTACGGAGGTGACGTGACGTCACTTGCTGTTGGTCACCGCAAGGCCCTTACGTCGCCTGCCCTGCAGCATCGAAATTTTCTAACTACGTAAGGGTCGCCGCAAGGAATCTCCGCTGTGATTGGTCCGTGTGTGTGTGTATTGGAAGGAAGCATGAAGCGGCTGCAGCAGGGACAATGGACGAGGCACTATGGAGCAGAGAGCTTTGTGCTTCGAAGGAAAAGCAGTTTGGGCTCAGAGCCTGATATACAGGAGACAGTGGACTATCTAACATATATATAACATATATCTAACTTATATCTAACATATATATAACTTATAAACTGTGCAGTCGTTTGTTTTGCACTGTTCCTGTCTTGTTTGAATCGTAGCTGCGTTTGTTGCTTTCCTCCTGCACTTTTAAATCGTTTATGTTTGTCTCAGATATTTACCACTATTATTGTTTTGCTGTTTGTGCTGAAAACTATTTAATAATAACTATGTTTCCAACAAGAACTGTGTCTTTATTCACAGCATCACAGTTGAAATGACTTATAAAATAATGAATCCATAAAACTATCACATAAACCTGCGGTAGAAACACGTGTAATGAGCTCAAACAGCTTTGTTTGCTATTGTTGTTCTGAAGAGGACAAAGTAGCAGCGTAAATGGGACCGCTCCTGTGTGATCGCCCTCATGTGGTTTGTTGTGGGATTACAACATTCTCCTCAAAACTCCGTAAGGGGAACGCGCCAGTATAACATCAATTGTGCTTACGTAGGTCCACCGCAACCGCTAACGTAAGCCACGCCGCGCAAGTATACACTAGGCTTTAGCGGGCCGTTTGTTCTCCTCCACTCACAGAACGAGCAGCGAACAGCCTGCGTCCTCTAGCCTCTACAGCGCTGCTTAAAGGACAACTCACCCTCAAATCCACTTTTTTTTGCCGATAAACTGTATAAATGAGTGTCCAATAGTGTTGTCTACATATCCTGGTCATATTTTTGTCACTTTGGTGCAAATTAGTTGAAAGTTAAACTTTCTGCCTAAAACCGTCTGTGAGGCGCCATCTGCTGGCGACCTGTATTACAACATTTGAATTTTGAATCTGGCGCCAACACTGGCGCAGCAGCCCCCTGCCCAGAGCAATGTAAACGGCCCAGTCTCGTTCACGCCCCCTTTAGTCCTCCAGGCTACGCCCATTTAGAGGAAGATTTGAACAGGAAATGTGAGTGACGTAAGCTCCGAGGAGCGGGGGTGAGAACCACTTTAAGGCTTCGATTTCATAATTCGAATATAATTCTTAAATAAATAAAAAATGTTTTTTGAATATATATATATATATATATATATATATATATATATATATATATTCAAACAAATATTAGACAGCCCTTATAATTCGAAATGTATTTAATGACTGCAAATAAAATAGTTAGCTCCCAAAGGTTTCACCGAGACGTGCTAGGCAGGTAATAGCTAAGCTAGCTAGCTGTTTCATGGTAACTTCCGAGTTTTTTGCGATTGCTTTTTGTCACAGTAAAACAGTATTTTTGTCATGAAAACGTTAACAGCAAATTCTGAAATCGTCCGTGCATGTGTGTAAAGCATGTATATGTATACTGTATTGTCCGATTGATGTTTAATGGTGTTGATTGATAGATATTTAGTTGTTTATTGAGTGTGGCTGGCTCCGCTAGCTTCTCTACACAGACAAGTGTGTAGTGACAGGCGCTGATAGCTTGTTGTTCTTGCGAAGTAATGGCAGTATTTTACACCTGAATTACAAACAGAGATTGCATTGGGGCTTCGATCATTATTGGTTTGAGAGTTCTGTTATCAAGAAAAAATGATCGGTAGAATTACATTCAAGTCAATGGAGTTCTGCTGCTTTGAGGCTGCTGCCTATTACAAATTATAATTAAATATTAGAATATATTCTAATGTTTTAAATTAATATATTTGGACTTTTGGAAATTAATATATTCTTTTACTTATATATTGTGTTAGCAGTGCGTTGCTTTAGTGCTATTTCATCAGTGATTGTTGCACAGCTTACAAGAAGTTGCGCTAATGCTAATGTTAGCATACATATCAGATCGCAAATAAAACTAGATGGCTCCGTGGGATGAGAGCGTAGGGGAAATGAGAAGCCATTGAGCGAATTGGGGGGCGGTGCTAAACATTCAAACATTGCAGAAACGGGTATAGCGCCTTTAAATTGCGCATACACCTGCAGCTCCTGGCTCCACCCACAGCTACACGTGTGTGTGAGGGAAGCAAGCAGCTTATCCCCGCGGTGGTGTCCGCTGGGTCCTAGCGCCGGTCATCAAAAAGTACTCAGACAAAGAGGGAGATGCTCTTATTTTTAAAACAGGACAGATACAGTGAGAATAATGCGGAGGTGCCGGCATGCCAGTGTTTATTCCGCGGCGTGCCACATGTGGCCCTAGGTTGGCGACCCCTGGTATATCTGATCCCAAATGGAAAAATCTGTCTCAGAACAGGCTTTTTGTGAATGTTGATGGTAAGCGTGCTTGAAGTAGCCCACATAGTGAAAGATGGGGGCTGCAACTCACCTGTCATCAACCAAACGTACAATTTTACCATTTTCAGAATTAAACATGTAAAACCCTATAACTCGAACCAGAATGTAACATGACTTACTTATTTTCTTTTTGGGTGTCCACTCAGAGTGGACGCCGCCTTCCTCCGACTGCACTCGCACTTTGTAGATTACCATATAATCTTCTATTAAGTTGCTCAGGTCACAAAAAGTCTTAGATATGTTTGTGCACTTCTTGACAGGTTTCCACTCGCCTGCAATGCTAATGGACAAAAAACCAGTTGATAAATACAGGTATCATTTAAAAAAGCAGTATTTCTTCTTTTAATGGCTCAACTTACCTTCCAAACTGAACATTGTACAGCACATCAGCGGAGGCACCAGTAGGTTCGGTCCAGAGTACAAAAACGTCTTCACGCAAAATATTCACTTGCAAATTCTCTGGTGTAGGCAATTTTTCACCTGTTGAGAAATTACAAATTAACAGTTAGAGTTACAATAGAAGTTTTTTAAAATCTTGACGTTCTTTCTGTGCTAAGCCTTTGGCAGAAATGGCAGATCAGATTCAGTTTATTTGCCGTTTGCAGTAAAAAAAACCACATTGGAATACATTAGCAAAAAGTCTCCAATGTGCACAGACAAATACAGACATAAAACAACATTAAAAGACAAAAATAAAACAAATAAAACAGTAAACAAATGTCACTGTGAAATCGATCGACTAAAACAGTTTCAAAACAAGTGCAAATCATTAAAGTGCTCTGTTCACACTGATAACAGCTTGTGGATAAAAACTGTTAGCGTAACGAGATATCCTGCATCTCAGAGAGCGATATCTTCTGCCAGAGGGAAGAAGCTGGAACATGGCTTTTCCAGGGTGGCCAGAAGAGTCATTGACAATCCTAAGAGCTTTATTTAAAAGTCTGGATTTATAAAGAACCTCCAGAACAGGAAGCTCACAGCCCACGGTCGTCTTTGCAGAGCGGAGCACCTTGTTTAAAGATCTCTTTTCTTTATCTGTGATGTTTCCAAACCACACAGACACAGAACCAACAAGTAAACTCTCAATGGTGCAGCGATAAAGGTTAATCAGAATCTTAGAGTTAGTGGTAAATTCTCTTAGTTTACGCAGAAAGTAGAGACGCTGACGAGCTTTCTTAACGACTCGGTCAGTGTTTTTAACCCATTTCAGGTCGTTAGACAGAGTTAAACCCAGAAACTTGCACTCCTCTACGATCTGCACCTGGGAGTTGTCGATTACAACAGGCAAATGAGAACTATTATAGACTAGTTCACATGTTTTCGATGCGTTCAACTGGAGGTTGTTAGTTTGACTCCACTGAACCACATTTTGTATCTCTGCTCTATAAGAGGATTCATCAGTGTCACTGATGAGACCGATGATGGTGGTGTCATCAGCATATTTGATGATCAGGTTCGAGTCAGAGGAGGACACACAATCGTGAGTGTACAAAGTAAAAAGCAAAGGACTCAAAATACATCCCTGAGGAGAACCAGTGCTCACAGAAACAACATCAGAAAAACAGTCATTGATTTTCACTCTCTGAGATCTGTCAATTAAAAAGCTAAAAATCCATTTACACATGGCAACACTTAAACCGAGAGACATGAGCTTTTCAATCAGTTTACCTGGGACAAGGCAGTTAAAAGCAGAGCTATAATCGATGAAAAGCATTCTCGCGACAGATTTACTAGTGTCCAAGTGACTGTAGACAGAGTTCAGAGCAAAGGAGATGGCATCCTCCACACTCCTGTTCTGTCTGTAAGCAAACTGGAGCGGGTCAACACTTACAGGGATCTGGCTCTTAATGAAGTCCAGCACAAGCCGCTCAAAAGTCTTCATAAGGACAGACGTGAGGGCCACAGGACGATAGTCATTCATGATGATGGTCGACTCTTTAAAGCAGTTCGGCACAGTACAGTTCCTTAGCGACAGGTTGAACATGTCTGTTAGCACAGGGGCAAGTTGCTCAGAGCACAGTTCCAGGACACGAGGAGGGATGCCGTCCGGGCCTGGGGCTTTCCGGACTATGGTCCTGGACAAGACACGCCTGACTTCCTCCTGAGTCACGGTGAAGACAACTTGATTGAGACAATCAGGGAATACAGTAGGACAGGCATCAGCGGATTCAAAGCGACAGTAGAACGTGTTCAGCTCGTTTGGCAGAGCTTGGCCGACAGATGCAGTTTTCCCAGCGCTAGGTTTCCACGATGTGATGGCTTTAATACCGTTCCACATGCGCCGAGGGTCATCTTCCTCAAAATAACTCTTTAACCTGTCCCCGTAACTGTGCTTTGCAGATTTAATAGAACGTTTCAATGAGTAACAGATAGATTATAAGCAACTGTATCATTTGATTGAAACGCCATCGCACGCTCATGAAGTTTCAGTTTCACTTCCGCGTTCATCCAAGGGTTTTGACTAAAATGTTCTTTAATGACCTTCTGTGGGACACAGCAGTCAATACAGGAGCGTATGTATCCAGACACCGCGTCACAGAATTCATTGACGTCCTCTGACTGAAACACAGACCAGTCCGTAGCATCAAAACAACCTTGTAGCTTCATGCTAGCCTCCTCAGACCAGCACTGCACAGTGCGAGAGGTTGGTTTATCAGGAAAGCAAGATCAGGAAAGTAACTGACATTGTGACATATTCATATCCATTAAAGGCACACAATTTCCTGAATCCAAAACCTGAAATATGTGTGTGTGTGTGTATATATAGTATTTTAACTATCTTCTGTAATTAATTACTACTGCCCACATCAAGCTAACTACACAGCACAGCATTTGATTAAATACATTCTATCAAACTGAAACCTGTACCTGTAACACAGCTCACACAGGCCACCATGAAGAGCAGCAAAGCAGTCGTTCTGCTCAGATCCATCTTTGTTCATTGGTCAGTGTTTGTCAGAGCTAGTCCCATAAAGACGCACTGGATCCGCCCTATTTTTTGGTTATTATAAACATTACTCATCTAGCTTTCCTTTCCCCTCCCCTCTGCTCTGATACATTTCCTGTCAATGACATGCTCTGTCCTGTCTCCTCTTCCTCTTTTGTGTTTTTTCCCCAGCGGCAACGAACACAAATCTTATGATGTCATACAACTTGCCACAAAGGCCTGGGTTTCATTTAAAAACAAAACTCATTAGCTTTGAAGGGTTAAGGATGATAATAATAATATAATAATAATAGGATTACAACCGTGAAATATCATTTTATTCATTATAATGATAAAGGCAATATAATGTTAGCCACTGTATTTACTAATTAGTCATAAAATAAGCATTGGTCGCTTTTAATGTTATGACCTTTTCTGTGAAGTCACAGATTGAAGAAACTGTGGTGTAAAAATACTTTGTCAGACTCATTTACCTTTTACAGACAAACATTGCCATTATATATTTTCTTGGACACAGCAGTGACTGTCCTCCGAACACATTCATCTGTGCACACTTAAGCCCTTATTCTTCTCCTTCATCTAACCCCTTTTCAAAACATGTGTTTTACGTGTTCTGAAATACACGTATTGTCTCCCAGCAGAGTGTGTGTGGAGTCAAGTGAAGCAGCAAGTGGCGTCTAGCAGCTCTTGCCGTACCGTGCAAAGGGGCGAATGCTGACGCTGCATCTTCATACAACCAATGGTGTAGGTTTGGTTCCAATCTTGGTGGGGACATTCACTACGACCTGAGTCTACACCCATTGACACGGGGTCCAGAGTTTCTCCCCCAGAATTTGTTGTGTAATCACACACTATATTTGCAATAGTGTGTTGCCTTCTATACTAAACTCAGCTGTAGACTGAATGAGAAGCAGTTAAGGATTTTTTCTAATAGTTAAAACAAAATCAATTGGATCAGAGCTTCTGAGTTTTGTGTTGCGTTCATTCTATACTGACTTAAACCTAATCCAAATCTACATAATAGCCCTCACCTGAGGCTCTAACAGTTCAGGAACTGCTCTCGATACTTGAAATAAATCATGCTCTGATCTTTCAATTTCCTATAATAAATAAAAACAGAGGAGAAAATATTGAATTAGAATCTACAGTGAGTATCTCACTACATTGTTTGACATATACGATCAATCTCTAAAAACAATTCATAGTCCCATGCATACCTACAAAATTCCAACCTCACCTGATGCACTGAAGGGCCTGTTGCTTCTACCTCAACATTCCCTATTTTGTTCTCTCTTGTTGGTTGAGTTTCCTATGTATGTTAACAGAAGATTAATCATCACAATTCATAATTTGCTATTACTTGTGCTTTCTCTTACTTACTTTCCAACTGTTAAAAAAGCTCCTGATATCTTTTATCTTTTTTGTGGAGGTGGCATTTTTTCTAAATTATATAAGAAGGTATAGAAAATCAAAAACAGACATTCATATACATGAACTGCAGAATCATTTATATAACTTGGCCAATGTCAAAAGTTACATAGTATTTCTCAATACAATGAGTTAACAAGAGTTTGGCAATAAGTAACAGTGTGGATTTTTCTATATTTTCTTTTTTTTATTCCACTCTCAACCCAAAAAGGCAAGTAATGACTCACAGGGCTCTCAAGTATGCAAAATAAAAACTTAAATGACCTGTTGTGGTGTGTTTTGCGCACAACCAGCATGCATCGTTAACGCAATGGAAAATTTACGTATCCAAGCTTTAATTTCGGGAGCGCTGGTTGCGCTTTGGGAAGAGTCAGGGGAGAGACATGTCAGAGACACAGGGGAGAAACGCGGGAGATACGAGGGAGACCTGCACTTGCAACATGGTTCTGTCTGCATATGGTCCGAGCTCGGTATGTTAGAGCTGTGCTTTCACTGAGCGCCGCGGCTGTCATTACAAAGCGGCAGCAGCTGCACCAGGACGTGCACATTCGAGTGCATCGCTTGAATGTGCTTAGAGCAAATAACAGCAAGTGCCCGCTGTCACACATTTCACAGAAATTACATTATCAGCAGATAAAGGTTGTAAATCGTGGATCCGTGGAATATTTTCATCCCTAGTTTATCCTGATTCACACAACACACCCGCTCATACATTTTGGATAGTAAGAGCACAACAAGTATTTTTTCAGCCTTTCAACCAACCTGTTTCTTTATTGGAGCCAGTTCTGTTCTGTCTCTGTATGCCGTGTGAGCTCCTCGGAACATTAAACAGTGCGCTGACAGATTAGAAATAACGTAAGTACTTTGAATGGTAATAGATCTACAGTACTTTCCTCTGATTACTCACGTGCTACAACGCTCAGGGAACGAAAAAAAACACTTGCTTCACGCTGGCTAACTTTTAAAAATTAAACAGTCGCTCAGTGCTTCAGTTTGGCGCTGAAGAAGACAGCCAATCACTGCAGAGAACGGAACGGGTCACGTGCTGCTGCTGCTGCTGCTGCTGTTGCTCTGGAGGCGAGGAGGAGGCGCGACGTGTGCACAAACGGAAGACATGTGTCCCGGACCGTCCGGGTCACGGGACATCATGTCATTTTGGTGGGGACTATTTAGTCCTCACCAAATATTGGTGGGGACATGTCCCCATGGTCCCCACGCAAACCTACGCCCTTGCATACAACCCTGATGGGAGAAACACTAAATACATTTAAATATGAAGCCAACTTTTAATTTCCACTTGTTTAGACGATGTTGAGCTCTGTTAGTCAAACAATGAGACTGGTTTGTTAAATGTGGGAATTCAAGTTCTTTTCAAATTATTTCTTGTGTTGTATTTCTTGTGTTGACTTATAATATTGACAAATATGTGAACCAAATTGGTCACTCTCCGCGACATCTTGCATTCACCATTATTAAAGCAACAGGCCCTACGCCAGTCAGCACCCACTACTTACTGCAATGTTTTCCTGTTTTTGTGTTGTGCTGCAGGGGGGGACCTGCGTTTGGGAGAATAATCAGACTTCTCAGTTCGACTGTTCTAATGTGAGTTGCGTTTAATGTGACTTAAGCGTGACAAACTTTTTAACTGGCTATATTACAGTATTTCATTTACAGATTGAAGGAGTAAAGTGAATTTGTCACATATTTCTCATCAAAACCACTCCCACTGGACTGTGACGCCTTCAACTTGTTGCCACTGTGTGATATTGTTTGCCCATAGATTAAAAGTCAAACTTGAACAATCGAATTTGATATCACTGTTTCTGTTCTGTGTTTGCCCAGGAGCCCAGCTGGTGTTATTTGAGCATTTGCGATGAAACTGACCTCGTCCATCTATTGGTTATACAAGGAACCAGTCAGACAGGTAGGAAACTTACAGGACACACCCATCACTGTGAGGAGAAGAATGAAGAATGAAAGAGGATGGAGGGGGAGGGGTTTTATGGTGAAGGAGGAGGGGCGAGAGGCACCTGCTGATGCTTGAGTTGGTGACTGTGGATGAGTGCAGAGGACAGAAGAGTGTGGAGTGGCCATCCCTAGTGCCAGCATGACCCAGCTTCTGATCCAGTGTATGTAGAAGACTGCTCCTTCCACTGCCCTCCTCTGCTGTCCCATGGCAAAGAATGACCAGGCCAGGTAAGGTGTTGGGTTTTTCACTCTTTAAATTGAGCCTCGCAAATTCAAGTCACTTTTACGTCCAAGATATTTCATGTATAAAGTTTGATCTGTATTTATGAACTAACATTTGATTGATTGATTTGTAATGATTCAAATCTTAATATTGTCAATTCTATCTATTTTTGTATAGCCCTAAATCACAACAGCAGTTTTCGCAAAGGACTTAACAAAATAGATGAATTTGCCAACACAGATCAGAGAATCAAATAGTAGTTTTCTTTATAAGTTTTTTTTTAGTTTTTTTTTTTAGCATTGTAATGGAGAAACTTATCATTTTATATGACAAAGCCAATTGACCTTTTGAATGTCATATAACCTCTTAATTTTACTGTACTTTTCCATTATAAAAATGGACAATGCTGACAGGCAGACTCTGATAACTAATCCAAATGCCTTCTACAGTGAAATATGATCAACTATAACTATTTTACCTGCAGTGGAGGGGCGGTGGCGCCAACAGATAAATTCCTTTTGTTATATGGACAATAGATTTCTTCACTTTTCTCTTTTTTGAAAATGGGTCAGAAGTATCATGTGTCTTACTGTAAAATTAACCACAAAATTGGATATAAACAATATTACTTTACATGGTATCACATAAACTATACAATTCTTAACATTAAGAGTAGAAAACAGTGTTCTTCTAATATGAGTGGAGAATCGAAAGAACTAAAACCAATTGTTCACAGACCAATTCGGGTACATAACTTCCTCTAAATTATGATACAAGTACTGCAATCGGTATGTGTTTTCAAAGTGAGCGAACCAGTTTAAACTAATTAAATAGGTCTTAGAAAATGTAGATACGATTAGAAGCTTGATATGATATGAAATGTGAGACAGTTTATAACTTGGAATAAAATGCTAGTTAGATTAAACAAGGAAATATTTACTCTATTTTCAAATAGTTTAATATTTTGGTATAGCAGACTCTTCGTCCTGAGAAGACTGAGGTCCTTTGATGTGAGCAGTCAGATGTTGCACATATTTTTCCAGCTTGTTGTAGCTATTGCCGTGTTCTTTGGGGGCGCGTATTGGGGCGGCAGTCTGATCAGGAAATGTGTCTTTGTGATGGGGAAAAGTGTGGACTCTGTGGGAGCTGTGCTGGAGAGAAGGATGAGGGCTCTACTGCAGGGCATCCTGGGTAACTCCAGACACCCTCTGCATGACACTATGGCCGCTCAGAGGAGTAATCAAAGCATATATAACAGGCTTATATATCACTGCGCTGCCGAACGGAACTTTTTAAAAGATCCTTACTACAGATGAGTTAAAAATATGCACTATTGTTAGGTAGTTGTTTAGAAATGTTGTTAGTTAGTTAGAAATGTTTAAATTGAATGTACTTACATATTTATATGGATGTGTTTTCTGCTGCTTGACACCTGAATTTCTCCTACGGGGATCAATAGAGTATCTATTTATCTATTATTACTTTTGTCTTTCAGAATGACCTCCCTCCTCCTCCTTATTTCCCATCCATATATCCCCGCTGCCCCCCAGTGCCCATGGAGATCTGGTGTATGGTTTAACACCTCCCTCTCAGCCCCACTACATACCACAGTATCCACCTGTTGTGATTTTGCCTCAGGTCTCTCAACCATTGCGTAAGTACTTTTTCTTAAGATAGCTGTTGTTAAAGTGTAATCATTCACATTGGATTTATCTTCTTAGCTCTAAAAAGAAGAAGCCGTTGTGGGAACAATGCTCAGTGTTATGGAGGAACTGGGGGAATTCTACTGGTGCTCGGTCTCCTGGCACTGGCCATATTGCTTGGAGGTAATTTCAATGCAAACATACTGTATATTATATGCCAACTTTTGTTTATTTGTTTGAGACAGTGCATATCAATAAACATACATATTTAGAACATTTATGTAAACAGATGTTTGACAAATGGTTAATTTCCATCTGCTGTCCCAATATAGTTTGCAATCCTGCACAGCCCACAGTCCATGCATTCATAATCCACCAAGAGTCCACATCATTGCACACACACACCGTTATTGTATTTACCCCATATTGTACACATTTAAGGGCGGCAGTAGCTCAGTTGGTAGAGCGTTGGCCTTTGAGCCAGAAGTTCGTGGGTTCAAGCCCCGCTCAGGACTTTCACCATCGACTCCTACTGACTACTGTCGTTGTGTCCTTGGCAAGACACTTAACCTCTGGGAACACCAGCCACAGTGGGGCGGCTGCGGCTGTAAAGTGCCAAACTGCCGTTGTGTCCTTAGGCAAGACACTTCACCCCCATTGCCTAGAATGAGTCTGGTGTGTGTGTGAATGGTTGGTGGTGGTCGGAGGGGCCGATGGCACATACTGGTTGCCTCGCTTCTGTCAGTGTGCCCCAGGGCAGCTGTGGCTACTGTAGTAGTTTATCACCACCGTGTATGGAGTGAATGAATAATGACACATGTGAAGCGTCTTTGAGTATCCAGAAAAGCGCTATATAAAACCGATGCATTATTATTATTATTATTATCCCATCATTGCACACATACAATTATGCACACATTCTGGAATAAAAATGTAGTTGAAACTTCAGGAACAAGTCTGTGGTAATTATTTACTTGAAATTACCACTAGATGTTGCCAAAGCTAATCTATACTTGTGTTAACAAATTGTCTTTTAATTCCTATTGCAGTAGGGTATGGCACTACGATAGCGTCAATATACAACCATACAGAAGATTTATATTCTGAATATGACGATGACAATTCAGTCTCTATACAAACACATGACATTTGCCCCAACATCTACTGTGACGGCATAAAGGATTGTGTTCATGGCACTGATGAATCTATATGTAGTAAGTAATAATGTATTTTTATGGATAATATATGTTTGTTATTGTTGTTGTTTTTTGGAGTTATACTTTCCTTATCACAGCTGAATGTATCTTAATCTGATTGTTTTTAGTCAGACTTCTTACTGGCTGTTTTCAAAACAAGGTCAAAACAGCGGAGGATGGCTGTTTCTTACCAGTTTGCTCCAGTAACTGGAACAAAACTTATTCTGATCAGACCTGTGCGCAGCTTGGTTTTGAAAGGTAAATGTCTAATTCACTTTTGCATGTATTTCATGCTTTAAGGAATGCATTTGACCAATAATTCACCATTTAATTTATATAATTTAGCATAATGTAAAATTTTCTTTCCAGTTCTTATGAGACCGAAATACAATCAGGGTACACATCAAAGGGTCTGACAATCACCTCATGAGGGACCGTTCAGTTTATCCAGGGTTCAGCCAGTGTCATGTATGTGTTCATTTTATTTCTAAGAATATTATTGGTGTGTATGATGTCTAATTGTTTTGTAATCATGGCTCATCTATTTCTAGTCCTGAGTGTCCAGACGAACAGACTGTCTCCCTGCAGTGTATAGGTCAGAAGACTCCACTTTTATTTATTTGAATTAGGACCTAATACCATCATCAATGGGTTGGCAAACAGGTTTAATATAAATCCACTGGAATTCGTTCAATGGCTAAATGTCATCTAATATCCAAAGGCAGATACAAAAAGGTTAAAAACCTGACGACCAAAGACTGTGGATCCAATGGACAAACTGAAGTTCATAAATGGGAGCATGAACTTCAGATTATCCTAACACTTTTAGTGAACAATTCAAAATGGTATGCTTACTCACTATGTTGCAATAGTTTTTGTGTCTACATGTTTTTGTGTTTTCCTCAATGGAGACATGAGTGGAGTCAAAGTGCTCTTGAGTGAGACCACGTTATCACAGTGCATACCTTTGCTCACTCTGCTGAAATTGAGTTACTCACTTTTTGTGTTTAGTTCAGGTTTGATTTGATGAAATATATGTATACCTCTTTTTGAGGTATTTCTTCATCTATTATTGTTTTCAGAGTGCGGTCAGCAGAAGTCTGTTGCACGGATCATAGACGGAGAACTGTCTAAACCAGGCGAGTGGCCCTGGCAAGTCTTTCTGCGTTATCAAAACTCACATGTTTGTGGAGGAGTTCTTATTTCTCGGAATTTTGTGCTGACTGCTGCTCACTGTTTCTTGGGGTGAATAGACACAAGTTACGACTTATGATTTATGACTTAAATATCTGATTACTTCAACCCCTCTCTAACTACTGTTTCATTACAGAACTGAGCCCAGTCCAGTTGCGAGCAAGTGGAAAGTCTATGGTGGAGTAGTGTCCCTCGATGCTCTTCAACAACCATATGAAGTCGCCAAGATAATACTCAGTGAGGACTACGACAACTCTACCAACAATCAGGACATTGCTCTGATCAAGCTTGAGTGTAGAGCACACTGACAATGTGTCTCCTGAACAGATTTTGCCATAAATAATCCAAGGGATGTAAATGTGAAGATCATTGACACAGAGGTGTGCAACACTCCTGGATCCTACAGTGGGAGTGTCACTAAGTACATGCTGTGTGCGGGACACATGGAGGGAGGAAAAGATTCCTGCCAGGTGAGCAGTGGAATAAATCTCAGACTCATCCACATGAGAGAGATGAGACTCCAGAGATTTGAATAAAAACTGAGAGATGCTTTAGATAACATAATCAACTCTTCAAGAATAGTGGTAGAACTTTTGCAAACTACTATTCATTACAATGAGACGCAGAGATATTACGCAGAAAAGTTTTACGTGTTTTTCTTCTTCTTTATAGGGTGACAGTGGTGGGCTTTTGGTGTGTGAAAATAATGGGGTTTGGACTTTGGCTGGAATTACAAGTTGGGGATCAGGTTGTGGCGATAGGAATAGACCCGGTGTCTACACTAGAGTGACCAGTGTTCTCCCATGGATCTACAGCAAGATGATGGTATGAGGCTATGGGCCAAATACATTTAAACTCACATTTGTTCTTCTGAGTTTCATGTTTTATTGTCTGTTTTGATTTACAGCAAGAAATGTCGTGAGACCCTGATTCATGGCTTTTACTGCACTATAAACTAAAATTATTATATGGGAACCTCATACACTGTACGGTACTTCTTATAGGAACATTTTTATTTCATCAAATCATGTGACCTTCCATTTTAGTTGTTATTCTAATTTTATCATATTGTGTTATTTTGAGTGTATACCTTTCAGTTTACATTCATCAAGGCACTCACTAATATTTATCATACAACTTATTCTGCCTGATTCAAAATTCTAAATGAATAATTGAAAGCGGGCTTTAAATACGTTAGGATCAGTTCTTCTGAGCAAATCTAAACCACTTTATTATATCCGCTGTGAATGAAAGAGTAACCCATGGGTCAGTCAGGAACCAATGTTTAGGGAATTAATGCACCTAGACTTTATATGGTTTGTTAAGGTCTTGATGTATATATTTTTTCATATTTATAATTCAATAGTTGTATATGTGTGTTGAAGTGACAATAAACTGATCCCATAAAAATAAATGTCACACATGATCTCCACACTCACTACTTCACAGGCTAAATAAATATGCTTACAGATTATTTAATTCCTTTTTTTTTATTTTCATCCCTTTATTTATCAATTTCTGGGTCAGGTGGGTGGCAATCAGAACTGCTACCCAATTCGCAGTGCACCAGTCCCTCGCTTATTCTCCTGCAGGTTGTGGGTCCACAGGAAGATGGCTGCTCCTTCATCGAAGATACAGAATTGGTGTTTTAGTGGAGGCTTGGCAAAGTGGTGTTAAGTGTCTTTCCCAGGGACAGCAGACATCAGTGGGAGCAGATGACATGGGTTGTGGGGGACCATGACCATAAGTTCATGGGTTTTGAGGATTTTCCCTGATTTTTAAGACCCACAGAAAATTGTGAATGATGAAATCTGAAACTAGATTCTGAACGACTGGACTGACAACTTTCATCATCAAAATAAGTTTATTTCTTGCTTCTTTCATTTTCCTGTAATCCCAAGTCAAGTAGAGAGAAGTTTGAATGAAATCACCAGACAAAAAGATGTCAATAGCAGGTAACAAGCTTGTGGATGGCATAAATCTATTGGTTGTAGCATGATACAAATAAAATCTATTCACGTTAGTTATGATCAAGTGATGTTTTAAACCATACATGGAACATGTTAGTTTAATTTATCCACCCACAAGACTATTCAAAACCCCTATAGGTGATGATTTTTGGATCTGATGGGGGTCAGGGAGTCTCCTCTCTCTGTATACCCACTAAACATCCGACGTCCACTCAACCTCCAGATCACGTCAATATCGCGTCGGTCGGTCGTGACCTTTTATTCACGTCCAAACGACGTCTGTGTAGGGTGTGCATCTGGACGTAAAACAATGACCTACCATAGACGTGGATATGACGTCCAATCCCGACCTCCCCTAGACGTAGAAAACAGGTCATCGGCCGACCGACGCATTACGTCTTGATCTAGCAATACAAGTGTCAAGAAATCAAGGGCGTAGGTTTGCGTGGGGACCATGGGGACATGTCCCCACCAATATTTGGTGAGGACTAAAAAGTCCCCACCAAAATGACATGATGTCCCGTGACCCGGACGGTCCGGGACACATGTCTTCCGTTTGTGCACACGTCGCGCCTCCTCCTCGCCTCCAGAGCAACAGCAGCAGCAGCAGCACGTGACCCGTTCCGTTCTCTGCAGTGATTGGCTGTCTTCTCCAGCGCCAAACTGAAGCACTGAGCAACTGTTTAATTTTCAAAAGTTAGCCAGCGTGAAGCAAGAGTTTTTTTTCGTTCCCTGAGCGTTGTAGCACGTGAGTAATCAGAGGAAAGTACTGTAGATCCATTACCATTCAAAGTACTTACGTTATTTCTAATCTGTCAGCGCACTGTTTAATGTTCCGAGGAGCTCACACGGCATACAGAGACAGAACAGAACTGGCTCCAATAAAGAAACAGGTTGGTTGAAAGGCTGAGAAAATACTTATTGTGCTCTTACTATCCAAAATGTATAAGTGGGTGTGTTGTGTGAATCAGGATAAACTAGGGATGAAAATATTCCACGGATCCACGATTTACAACCTTTATCTGCTGATAATGAAATTTCTGTGAAATGTGTGACAGCGGGCACTTGCTGTTATTTGCTCTAAGCACATTCAAGCAATGCACTCGAATGTGCACGTCCTGGTGCAGCTGCTGCCGCTTTGTAATGACAGCCGCGGCGCTCAGTGAAAGCACAGCTCTAACATGGTACCGAGCTCGGACCATATGCAGACAGAACCATGTTGCAACTGCGGGTCTCCCTCGTATCTCCCGCGTTTCTCCCCTGTGTCTCTGACATGTCTCTCCCCTGACTCTTCCCAAAGCGCAACCAGCGCTCCCGAAATTAAAGCTCGGATACCTAAATTTTCCATTGCGTTAACGATGCATGCTGGTTGTGCGCAAAACACACCACAACAGGCCATTTAAGTTTTTATTTTGCATACTTGAGAGCCCTGTGAGTCATTACTTGCCTTTTTGGGTTGAGAGTGGAATAAAAAAAAGAAAATATAGGAAAATCCACACTGTTACTTATGGCCAAACTCTTGTTAACTCATTGTATTGAGAAATACTATGTAACTTTTGACATTGGCCGAGTTATATAAATGATTCTGCAGTTCATGTATATGAATCTCTGTTTTTGATTGTCTATACCTTCTTATATAATTTAGAAAAAATGCCACCTCCACAAAAAAAGATAAAATATATCAGGAGCTTTTTTAACAGTTGGAAAGTAAGTAAGAGAAAGCACAAGTAATAGCAAATTATGAATTGTGATGATTAATCTTCTGTTAACATACATAGGAAACTCAACCAACAAGAGAGAACAATATAGGGAATGTTGAGGTAGAAGCAACAGGCCCTTCAGTGCATCAGGCGAGGTTGGAATTTTATAGGTATGCATGGGACTATGAATTGTTTTTAGAGATTGATCGTATATGTCAAACAATGTAGTGAGATACTCACTGTAGATTCTAATTCAATATTTTCTCCTCTGTTTTTATTTATTATAGGAAATTGAAAGATCAGAGCATGATTTATTTCAAGTATCGAGAGCAGTTCCTGAACTGTTAGAGCCTCAGGTGAGGGCTATAGATTTGGATTAGGTTTAAGTCAGTATAGAATCATACTAAAGTTAAAGAACATCATTTGGTTGGAAATTACCTATGCCAATTACAACATATTTTACTACTATAATGATGCAAACATTCTGAGAGATATAATGGAAATTCAAGAAGGAGATAAAGACAAGGACAAGACAGGACTCCAGGTGAGGTTAGGATTAAGCAGTTAAAATCTTAAACCCATCAACCAATTCTAGTTTCATGAGATATTTAGCGACTGGTGTACCATGCCTAGGTTTCATTTTATTCAATGTAGAATGTGTGTTTTTATTAATACCATAAAGGAAAGTCAGACAAACAGGGAATGTGCAGTGCTGGTAGAGGATGAGGAAGTGGCTGGACCTTCAGGGCTTCAGGTGAGGTTGAAAGTATTTATTTGGTTTTGTTGGTGGTTTTATTTTGTATATGATTAGATCTGATTTGTTTAATGTACTACATGTGTTTTATTTATTATAGGGAACTCAGGTATTCAGGGAAGATGTAGTGCAGGCAGATATCGAAGCTGGGCTTCAGGTGAGGCTGGAATTATGAAGATAAAATATGGGATTTTTTAAAGTTTCATAACAGTGTATTTGCTATTTAGGAGGCAGCCAATGAGAGTCACTCTCAAGAAAGTGCCAGGGACAGCATATTTGAGATAGGTTGTTAACCATATCAGCCTGATCCTGAATACAGGATATACTTACTATCTTATTTACTATAAACATTTAAGCCATCTTGTGGACAAAGTTAGAATGAACGCAACACAAAACTCAGAAGCTCTGATCCAATTGATTTTGTTTTAACTATTAGAAAAAATCCTTAACTGCTTCTCATTCAGTCTACAGCTGAGTTTAGTATAGAAGGCAACACACTATTGCAAATATAGTGTGTGATTACACAACAAATTCTGGGGGAGAAACTCTGGACCCCGTGTCAATGGGTGTAGACTCGGGTCGTAGTGAATGTCCCCACCAAGATTGGAACCAAACCTACACCATTGCAAGAAATGTTATGTGTATTATCATGTTAATTAATGTGTGTAGATTAGTCTAGTCAAGTTAACCAGCTAATGCATTAAGGGTGGCGAGAATGCAGAATTCTCCCAGCCCCCAGGCAAGAGTGAAAGAGCATAAGTAAACAAGAGCAGAGTAAACAAGCATGAAGCCAGAAAACATCTGTGTTGAGACAAGAAGACACTTCTTCTGATGGATGAGAAGATTGTTTTCTCACATGTGTTTTAAATCCTTTGGTATAAGAGGCAAGGCCTAACTTTCAGCGTGGTCTGTCTTTTGTGCTTTGCTTCTCGTCCGCAGCAGACCCAGGCTCTCTCTCTGCCTGTCTTTTATATGTATTCTGTTTTATATATTAAATCTTCTTTTATATCTATCTAAGTTTGTAATTTCCTTCCTTTCATCGGGCGACTGTTTAAGGAAACCTGGTGAACCAGCATAACAACAGGGCTCCTGCCCCCTGGACTAGAGCCCCCGGCTCGTCCGGGAGGGCCCAGGGCTCCATCACCGCCATGCCCCTCAGGAAGGGGAACCACCGGGCATGCGGACTGTCCGGAGCCACCAGAATCACCGATCTCCTCTCCTGTTCGATCCTCCGCAGCAGGACCGGCAGGAGACGCACCGGTGGGAAAGCGTACAACAGGCCGCCTGGCCATGGGTAATGAGCCAGAGCGTCCACGCCTAAAGGCGGCTCGTCCGCGGCCCTTAAGGCGAACCAGGACGGGCACTGTGCGTTCTCTGCACTGGCGAAAAGGTCGACCACTGGACGGCCGAACCTTCGCCAAACCTCCGCAGCTACCCGTGGGGCCAGGCCCCACTCGTCCTGGAGTGGGCCCCCCCTGGACATCCTGTCGGCTCCCAC